GTGAGGAGCTGAAAGGCCAAGGAGGTGCTGCAGAGAGAGTGGGGTCCCTGACGGTAAAGGCCGAGACTGGGAGGAGGGCTCGGAGGCAGACCCCCACAGGACTTTGTGAGTCATGCCAAGTTTTTAATCTTTCTCTGAAGAGCTATCGGAATTGGGAGATTTTAGGGCAGTAATAATCACAGTATTGGTTATTTATTGCTGCATAACAAGCTACTCCAAACCTTAGCGACCTAAGCGACACGTGGATTCCCTCCGTCTCCGGCAGGAATCTGGGCGTGGCTTAGCCAGGTCTCTGGTTCTGGGCTCTCACCACGCTGGAGGCATTTTGACTTCAATGGGAAGACTCCCCTTCCCAGCTCACCTGGTTCCTGATGAGCTTCAGTTCCTCAGGCTGTTAGATCCATGCTTCAGTTCCCTACGAGCTGGGGGCAGGCAGCCGCCATCGTTCCTGAGGAAGTGCATCTCCCCCTAGACCATGGCGCAGCTGGTGGCCTGCTTCATCCAAGAGAGCAAGAGGGTGGGGGAGTGAGGAGCAGGAGACACGACCTGTGGTGACCCGTCCCATCCCATTTGCCTGGCATTTGTTAAAAGCGAATCACCAAGCCCCACCCACACTCGAGGGGTTACACAAGGGCTTGAAAACCAGGGTGGGGTCCTTGGGGACTGCCTGAGATTCACCTACCGCAGTGACGTGACAGATGTCATTTCCTTGCTTGGGCTGATAATGCAACACAATTTTTGAGAGTGGATGCATGGAGACCAGTAGGTCAGAGTCAGAACAGAGCAGACGAACCCTCCAATCTGGTCCTCTGCCAAACGTGCTGTTCTGTCCTCTGCCCACTGTAGGACGTCTTAACACCAACCACGGCAGGGGATAAGATAGAGTCTCACCTTGCCTCCAGCGTGGTGAGACTCAGAGCTGGAGGCTTGGTGACTAGCATGCTGCAGGAATAGGGAACATGCAACATCACTTTTCTGTGCTTTCACACAGGAGAAATAGTGACTTCTCGCTTTCCGTTACTTATCAGAAACCATTTATATCGAAGCTTGTGATTAGATTACACATGTCAAAACACTGGTAGTTCACAGCTTGGGTTACAATACATGTTTGTATATAATTAAATTGCATTTCCTTTAAACAAAGCAAACTTCTACCGTACTTTTGTGTACCCTTGGCACATTGTGTTAGAGTAAACTGTATCTTAGGAAAATCTGATCGTCCTAGATTGAAATTCATCACTTTCTACCAAGCCTATTTTCCAAAATAGCAAAATATTTTATATTATCAAAGAATTTGATAATGGCTTATGTATAAGGGTGTCTTATTTGTGCAAAAGTCCCAATGTGGAATTCTTTCTATGCACTAGTCCCCCTTGCCCACAGTTTCAGTTACCTGTGGTCAGCGCAGGTGTGGAAGCAGATGATCCTTCTGACACACCATCAGAAGGTCAGCAGCACCCCAATGCTGCGTCCTTTACCTCATTTCATCACATAGGCATTTTATCATCTTGTGTCCTAACAAAAAGGGTGAGTGCAGGACCATAAAATATTTTTAGAGAGACCGCACTTCACACAATTTCTATTACAGTGCGTTGTTATAATTGTTCTATTTTATTAGTATTATTGTTGTTAATCTCTTGCTGTGCCTAATTTATAAATTAAACTTTATCATAGATATACGTGCATATAGGAAAAGCCTAAGCATGTCTAGGGTTTTGCACTCTGCTTGGTCACAGCAGCTGCGGGGCGTCTTGGATGGACAAAGGGAAACCACTGTACTTGCTCCGGTGACCAGGTGTCCACAGGGCAGGAGTATTATGCACCTTCTTTCCCAAGTTCTTTCTCCCTATATCCCTGCTCCTGGCCTAGATTTATTTCCTTCATCTGAACTCCTTCCTTCCTCCAAAGGGAGCCCATTTTTGGCAATTAGTCTCCTTCTAAAATGTAATTATATTTTTCCCATATGTTTCCTTTTAGATGGATGAATTTATCTATGGAAAAGTTGTTTTGTCTGTATCATACCTGTAGAAAAATTATTATAGATAAGTAGCTAGTTTTTAAATCTGATGGATACAGTGCCTAGAAGAGAATTTTGCTTTTTAATGTTAGTAAGATCCTATCATGGTACTTAGAAGGGAGACAAAACCTTCAGGAGCCTTCACATGACCTGTCTTTCATGTGCATCCCTGCAAATCGCCTTCACCCAAACGTTTATTTAGCAGTTTGTCAGCTAAGAAACCCCAGCATTCACCTGTAGCATTTCCTAGTTCAAAAGTCACTGGACATACTTCAAGGAAAGAATGAGATATCAGAGCGTTTGGTTCAAGAAAAGACTCAACAAGAGGACTGCTGAATGAAGATGGAGACTGTTTATACCGTTGTTTTGGCACCAGACATACGGGTGGCATGCTGGAGTAGGGGGGCTGTCACTGGGGGTCAGAGTGCCACTGAGCCTGAGGCATCAACGGTGACCCCTTAACATCAAGGCAGGAAGGCCCCATCCCCTTGACTTCGCCTTACTCAGTTTGCAGAACACTGGTAGCCCCAGGGAAGGAGGCGGTGGGCAGGCAGCCTGTGTTTGGAGAGCAGGAGACCCCAGGCAAGGTCCTGTCCAAGGAGTGGAAACTCCCAAGGTCTATGCTTGGCTCGAGCAGAACTCTGAAGGCACTTGTTACATGTGTTAGCTGGTCCAAAGTTAATGAGCATTTATTCTTTTCCCCATCATTACCTGGTTTGAAACTGTGCTATCAAACTGCTATAGAAGAAAGTAGTAGGAAATTAAAGCGAATGACTTTATATAGTCTACACATCAAAGTGGCTGTCTTAGTCTGATTAAGCACAAGTGTTCTGATTACAGGTGGAGCAAAAAATGAGCTCCCATCACCTCACCCCAAATGAGTGAATCATACAGAGAACAGACATTCCCAGGTGAATTGCAAAGATTCATGTCACATGTATGGCCGAAACTCCAGCCCACTTTAGTATGATGTTCTGGATTGTCTAGACCCAGGGGGAGAGAGGACTGATCTTGAGCCCAGGGGAAAAGGGGGATTTCTTTCCTGCCACCATGTCAGCCATACTGTTGGTGAAGAAGATGGAAGAGATGTCAAGGGTGGGGAGCCTTTCCAATAGTGGGCAGTGTCCAGGGAAACCTACCTGTGTCTTGTTCAGTCAGAGGTAGGGACCTCAGCAGGATCCACAGAGCCACACCAGTGTGGGTGTGTTATGTGGACTCAGGTGCTGGGATATCCATTAGGTCCTGGGCCAGGAGATGTGGTCCTAACTCTTCTCCGAGACTGCCAGTGCATCCTCAGACTGGGCTGTTGGGTGCGTACCAGCAGCCCTTATCCACTCTCCCATTCCAGAGGTCCTAGTTCAGGCGGGTGTGTTATAATCACATTGTATGTTTTGTGTTTAAGGCCTGTGGGTCTCAGCTACTTTAGGGGAGTCTTGTGTCAAGAACAGAAGTTGCTAATACAGTGGCCAAAGGTTAAACTTCGGTGGTTTTCACAGATGGCAGGGATCTCCATACCTGTGCCAGAAGAACACTGTTCTCCAAACAGGTTTTCCAGGCTGCACTCATGATTTTTCATCCTTTGTCCAAAACACGATTCTTATTACACATAATATGAGATTGTGCCAACCTTTGTCAGCCTAACTTATAAATGCATCTTCCCGTGTGACACCATCACAGTCCAGGAGATAAGCAGGCTCTGCACATTGCTGCTGCAGATCCATGTTGGTCAATAAAACTTTGACTTGGATTTTACCTCAGCATAGGTCATGCTGCTTATTAAACTAAGAGAAGTGATTTGGGCGACATTATTTCCTGTAATGCATTTCTATTCATTGAATCTGTACGACTTTTTAAAGGTATTCACCATAATGATCTTCACCAGCACTAAAAGCATTTTTATGTACTTGAATATGCATATGGTATCATAAAATCTGCTGTTCTAAGTGTGCAAAGCAGACATAGGTCTTTTTCTCAAAGTTCTTAACTGTGAGTCAGACAGTTAATTATGTAATTTGAAGCCAGTCTAGAAATGCATTTTAGGAAGCAGATATATGAAAGTTTTATGTAAAATGGTGTCAGAAGTACATGCGTTCAAGTGTTGAACAAATATGGCATCATAAGATTTGCATATCATAAAATCATTGCATTTTAAGTCTCCAAGTTCCTCCAGGACACAGGTCTCCTAACCCCTGTGTTATTTTCTTCCCGCTTGACTGCTACATCAAGGGAATTCCTGTCATTGCCAGTTGGAGAGGGCTTTGTGGAGAAGAAATTTTGTTTTTTCTCTGAATCATTCACACCCCAGGTGTTAAGTCACCCAATTATCTTCACTCATTAGCAAATCTGAAATCAACAGAAGCCCAGTTGTGGCTTAAAGAGAATACGTTTTTAAAAGTTTTCAGAATTTTGTGATTGCAAAGAAAGTGGTAACCGGTTACCTGCAAACCACAGGCTATGGACTGAGGTTTCTCTAGGTACTAATTCCAACTTTAATTATTTCTCTTTACCACTTATCTTGCCTCCAACTTTATGCCTTCCTATTTTCCTAGAGTTCTACAAAAACTCCTTGGAACATACATTCCCTCTTCCCAGGGGCCTGTTTGGACAAATCCTTCCCTAAGGGCTTTTATTAGAAACCTCCCACGTTTACTAGAAACGTGATGCTCACCTATGGTTAGACGGACCCTACTGCTTCCAGAATCCTGACAGAAGCCCTCCTACTCGGGGAGGGGGGGTCAGGAGAGGCAGTGGGGGCTTTCTGTGTACTTTCCGGGACCTCCACATCGCTATGGCAGATCTACTTTGTAAATGCTCTTGACACAGGGCCTAAAGCTCCTTTTCCTTTATGACTCGGTGTCATTGGCTGCATTTTGCCTTATCACTGCTGTACCCTTAAGAATAACAAGAGTAACAAGTGGTTACGTATTATTCATCCCTAGTGTACAGATCACGCATTCATCTCGGGCTCCCTTTTCTTCCCCAGAGCGTGCACTCGACAGCGCATGCTGAGCGGATCATTCGAGGGGCAGCCGGCAAAGGAAAGGTCAATCCTCAGCGTGCAGCATCACATCCGCCAAGAGCGCAGGTAAATAAATACACGGGGAGTCAAGGCCGCAGAGAAACCAAGGAAAGGGGCTTTCCAGGAAGTGCCCACTGTGCACAGCCCCAGTTAGCAGACAGACAGGGGTGGAGGGCTTGGCTCTCCGGGTTCATGGCAATGAGGGAAACAATCAAATTCAAAGATTCAAAAAATCTTTCAAAAACCTTTTCCTTGGTGATCGCCAAATTCTCCCTTCTAAGTTTAGAGGGAAAAGTTCTGAACTTTGTTCGATGAGATCAAAGACACTGAATAGATGAAAGCTTCTGCTATAAAAAGAAATACTAAGCTTTTGTGATGCTATCAGAAAAGCTATTTTATTTTGTTTTTATAATGGTATTTGTTTAAAAGTCAAAGTCTGATCTTGAGCTGTATTGACCAGTCGATCGTGGTTATCGTAGGTCACTAAGACACGGATCGAACAGCCAGAGGATCAGCAGGGGGAAATCTCTTGAAACTCTGACGCAAGATGTAAGTTCTAAGCAAGTCTTTGGATTTTGAAAGCCTGATTATGAAAATGTATTTAAATGATTGTTCAGACAATTGCAGCACCTACATCCACCTGTCACATTGCCATGTCTTTTTAAGACTTCCCACCAGAGGGAATCAGGAACTGAGGAAGCAAATTAAGTGGCCAGGTACAATAAAGTGACCGTTAACTGGAAAAATCCGGCTATCCCACAAAGCCCAGGTCTTCATTAAGGTAGTGACACAGAAGTGATATATTTGTATTTGACTGACATTAAAGACATTTAAAGTGTTTTATATGAATGATTTTGGTTATTGACTTTAAACATTTATTAATTTCCAAATATTCTAGATCCAGGGTCTATAATTTCATGGATTTGCCTCCTAGGAAATAAAATCTTCTTTCTAGAAGAATTTTTCTATCACAGACTGTGTAAGATTTCCCCAGAATGTCTTTCCTTTCAGAATCTAGGTCATTCTTTCATGTGTTAACTAACTCCGTAAGTATTTATCAAGTGTTTATATGCACCTGGCCCTGCTCTAAATGATGAGAGGTAGTGGCAAGAGGAGACAGAATCTCTGCCCACCAGGAGCTTACATTCTAGTAAAAGATACAAACAGTAAACAAGTAAGCAAACATATTATCATTCCTGGGAGTGATTTTTATTTATTTTCCATCATCTCTTAATTGTTGTGATGGGTTTGCTCTGTCCTGTAAAGGAAAGAAAATGGTGTCAGGACATCAAATTTAGAGATTATGGGGGCAGGGAGTGTTAGAGAGGCTGATGAGCGTTCATAGCCCAAATTAGCCCAGGGGCCCAAATGAGGCGAATGAAGGAAACCCAAGCAGGCGAAAGTCAGCCCTGTGGTTAGACTCACCAGAGTCAGACTGTCCTGCATGGGGATGGCAGCCGGAGAGCTGGGTGCACGTTATACATTATCATTAGTGCACCTACGCCCTGGTTAAGGCGTACATCTGGGTAACTTGGCTAAGAAAGCCAAGTCTTCAATGTTCATAGCCAAGAATGGCATTTGAGGAAGAAGGTCTAGCAAGAGAGCGTTAGCCTTAAGGTGTTTGGGGTTTTTTCATTTTTTATGCTTCAGCCTTTTTCACCATTTTACCTCTTACTTCTTTAAAGTCTCTGGATTTTTCGCATAGTCCATCTGCATTCTATCTGCAGAAACTGTGATCTAGTCAGAGCAAACTGTCCTAAGTGTTCCATGCAGACCTGAGAATGTTAGAAGTAGGTGGTGGGAACACCTAATATCACCATTAACCCGATTTACATGGTTCTCATCGTGGCAAACATCTGTTAGTCAAACAAAAGTTAGACTTTTAAGCCAGAGCTCTGTCTGGTACTATCTACCATACTGTCAGCATGGAATCATGATCAGATCCAACACATGGCCCATGTCCTTACAGTCTAGGGGTCAGACACAGCGCATGGAGAAAATTTCAGGGCAAAATTTCAGAGAGGCAACACTCGTTCAAAGCACTTCCCTTTCATGTGACTCAACAGAAATATGTGATCTACTTAAGAATCAAATGAGAACATGGCTTTGAAAATATGTATTAAACATGCACAGCAGAAGGCCCTATTTGAGTAGTATCAGTTCCAGAAGCTTATTCTTCTTCAAAGGCTTTTTATTATATTTTCTACATATACATATAGCAAAAACCCATCCCCCATCTTCCCAATAGCAAAAGGTCATGGGGTTCTGCTAATTTCATAAGAAATCTCTCCTGATGTCTTTTCCTCCATAATACAAACAATTAAAATAGAGAGTGTCTTTTTCACTTATTCCAAATAGCAGAACATACAGGTAATTAAATCTAAGGAATACTTTCCATAAAATCTATCAAGTTATTTGAACAGCGGTTCTCGATCTCCCATGAAGAGAAAACCAGAGTCACGGTCCCTATCGTCCAGCCTCCCTGACCCCTCCTGCCTCCTCGGCTCTGTGGCCTGTTCTCTCTTGACCCCACCCGCACGGGCATCCTGGCCATTCCATGCAGTGCACACAGACCTACGCCCTCCTCTGGAAGGGCCCAATTCTGCAGTGATCTCACCGCCTGCATCCTTCCAGCTTCTAATTGAGGCCTGCTCTGACCTACTTAACCATGGAAACTCCCAGCACTCTCTGTCCCCTTTGTTTTGTACCATAGCATTAAACATCTTCTAACATTCTCGCTTGCTTTGATTTAAATTTTGTCTGCCTTCCCTGACTAGAACACGAGCCCCACAAAGCAAGAGTTCTGTCCTCCTCCCTCACTTTTGCCATATCCCAAGCACTATAACAGTGCCTGGCACATAGTAGGTTCTCAATAAATATTCTTATTGAAGAAATACCCTTTAGAGGAAAGAAATTCCCTTGCTAAGGTGATTGTGGCCATTATAATGTATATAAAGATATATATTTCAATTTTTTAAAATTATCTTTCCTAGGTCTTCAAAAACATCTTCCATTTTAATATACCCCCCTTTTCTTTTATTTCTAGCATTCCAATACAGTGAGATATAGAAATGCACAAAGAGAAGACAGTGAAATAAAAATGATCCAGGAAAAAAAGGAGCAAGCGGAGATGAAGAGGTACAGGGCGTTACGGGGCTTTGGGGCGCTTGCTTTGGAATGGCAGATTTTCCCTTAGCCTTACTCACCCATAAATCTCCCCTTCAAGGAAAGTGCAGGAAGAGGAGCTGAGAGAGAACCACCCTTACTTCGATAAGCCGCTGTTCATAGTTGGACGGGAGCACAGGTTCAGAAACTTCTGCCGGGTGGTGGTCCGGGCACGCTTCAACGCGTAAGTGCGCCCCATTTCAGCCGGGTGCTCGGCCTGAGCCGAACAAACAGCAGGAGGGGTTGTCATGTGAGGAAGAAGGAATGTGTAATCCTAATGGGGTCACAGGATAAACTGTGGGCTAATTAATCATGCTGCTCCTCTTTGCTGAGCGGCCGACCAGGTGGGAAACAAAGGTTGCAAGGAGTTCCCATTTATATAAAACTCACGTTTCTAAAGCACTTAACCAGACATTTTTATTTGTTCATTTTAGCAGTCACTAATATGTTCAGCTCAGCATCATGAACTCCTTATTTTACATCGGAAACCGAACTGAAAGGAGACAGAACGGCATTGCCCGCATCGTCTTTTAGACCTAGTTTCCTTGTGGTTTACTCTGGAATAATGTAAAGTAGAAATAAAGTCGACTAGTGCTTCTGTTACCAACGGGTACAGGAAGAAAGCCCACCGCAGTGCCTCTCTCCCCCACACGTGGAGGAAATGCCGGGGCTCCCCGTGTGTTCAAGCTGGGGGGCGCTGCGTTTGTGGCAGCCGTCCCCCATCTCAGCAGGCAGCCAGTGGATGGCATGGCATCTTTGCCGTGCACAACTTCACGGGAATATTCTGAAGACCTTGAGGGTCCCGGAGCAAATGTGAAAACTCTCCGTTAGGCAGTTGGGCCTCCCCTGATGCCGTCCTTATCAGCATATGATGATCACTACCCGTCATAGGCTGAATCGTGCCTCCTCCCCATGCTCCACAAAATCCATATTTTGAAGCCCTAACCCCCAATATGTCAGAATGTGACTTCGTTTGGAAATAGCACCTTTAAAGTGGTAATTAAATTAAATGAGGGTATTAAGGTGGCCCTAATCCAATAGGGCTGGTGTCCTTATAAGACAAGGGAATTTGGACACAAACCCCTATACAGGGGACGCAGCGGACCACCACAGAGGTGAAGACACATTGGGAGAGGACAGCCATCTACACGTCAAGGAGAGAGGACTGGAGCCGACCCCTCCTCAGCACCCCCGGTCGAGCACCCCTGCCGCACCTTCGTCCCAGACTTGTAGCCCCCAGGACTGGGAGAAAATACATTTCTGGTGTTTATGCCACGCAGTCTGTGGCACTTTGCTGCAGCGGCCCTGGGACACTGATGCGCTCCTGGAACATTTCCGGGTGGGCGGAGACCTCAGGAGCCGTTCGGTGTCATGTGTGCCCGGCCTCCCCCAGTACAGGTGGCCCAGGTGAAGGGCTTGGCTCAGGGACACCAGCAGGTTCTGGCTCCCTCTGGCTGCCGGCCCGTCGTTCTTTCTACTGTTCCAGGAAGACCTTCCCAATTTAAGCCCCCTGAGTAACAATGATTTCAAACTTCCCTGAGTTTTCACAAAATAAAGAAAAGAAGCTGGCAGGTAGAGTTGATTTGATCAGTTACCAGAGTGGGTTTTCCATCTGGAATCATCCTGGCAGCTGCCTCTGTGTTAACAGTAACTGCTGACCCTCCCTTCACTGGGTGTGGCTGACTCTCCTTTGTCAGCAACGCAGCTGACGTGGACCTCAGAGGCCTGCTGTCATTTGGAGCCATTGTCACTGAAGATGGGCCGTGGGCTTCCTGAAAGGGAAGCTATCAGTCCCTACCCCAAGAAATTGTGTAGACATTTGACCCTTGCACAACATGGGTTTGAACTGTGCAGGTCCACATAAACACAGATTTTTGTTCAATAAATATATCAGAAGTTTTTTTGGAGATTTTCAAAAATTTGAAAAAAAATTCCTTTTCTCTAGCTTACTTTATTGTAAGAGTACAGTATAGAATGCATATCACATACAAAATAGGTGTTAATCGAGTATTTATGCTGTCAGCAAGTCTTCCAGTCAACAATAGGCTATAGTAGTTAAGTTTTGAGGTGCCAAAGGTTATACATGGATTTTCAACTGTGCAGGGGGTCAACACCCCTACCCCTGCATTATTCAAGAGTCAGCTGTAAATCACTCCACAAGATAGCAGCTAAATATAGGATGAAGTACTCTCTTTAATTTATGGATATTTAATTAGATAAGTATGAAGAACATCCTTGAACTGCTAAGGCAGAGATTTTAACATTTAATTTTGTAATATCCATGTCAGAAATTGCTGAATGGAGCCATGAACTCTAAAATCAAGTACCTTGAGAAACTTAAAACTTTGCTTTCATAAGCATCAACTGCAAACCTTCTGGTTTTTCTTTCATCTAATGTTCTCTGCCTTCCAAAGACACACAAAGTTAACATATGTTATAATAGACATTTTGTAGAGGAGATTTTATGTAGATGAGATGTCTATAAATACTGTACTGCTAGGTTATGATATGTTTGCTGTGTTGCTGAATTTTACATGTGTTTTCTCTCTTGCAGATCTAAAACAGATCCTGTCACAGGAGCTGTGAAAAATACAAAGTACCATCAACTTTAGTAAGCATTACACTCTGTGTTCCATGCACATTTGAAATTTCTGCATACTATTTTATGCTGCATCAAGATATAAAAATTCCCTTTCTTTTCTTGCTATATTATACTATGAAATAGACGATTGGGGGGACTTCATAAAAAATGCCAGTCACGTTTCTAGAATCACAGAAGCATTGCCCCTGACTCTTTCTCGGTGTTGTCTGGTCTTTGGCAGTGATTTGCTGGGACTGGTGACTTACCTGGACTGGGTCATGATCATCGTAACCATCTGCTCCTGCATTTCCATGATGTTCGAATCCCCCTTCCGAAGAGTCATGCATGCACCTACTTTGCAGGTACTGCTGCTGAATCTCAGCTCACAGTTTGGCAGAAAAACACTGAGCTGCAATTTTTCCATTCATTGTGACCCAACTGGCTTTTGCCCATTTCAGATTGCAGAGTATGTGTTTGTGATATTCATGAGCATTGAACTTAATCTGAAGATTATGGCAGATGGCTTATTTTTCACTCCAACTGCTGTCATCCGGGACTTCGGTGGAGTAATGGACATATTTATATACCTTGTAAGTTATTTCTTAAGTGTAAAATGTGATTGTTTTGTAAAATCTCCTGCATTTCTTGGTCCGGGAGTAAGATATATGAGCTGCATGGGCTTAGATGCCATAACTGAGCGCTCAAGAGGAATATCTGTTACAGGCAAATAAAGGACATGCATGTAAAACCTTAATAAAAAGAATAAAAATATTTGTGGATATGGTTCCAGATACATGAACCACATTCATGTATGCATATGATATACATTAATAAGATCTAATAACAAACCTAGTTTGCAACCCATAATTCTTGTGGCTCCTATACCAAAAAATAACCTACATCATATAACTGATGAGCCCTTTATACTAAAAGCAAACTAAGGTGAATGTGGTTGGACCTCCTTCCTAGTAGAAACTCACAAAATGCCTGCCTAGACAGGGTAACTATTCCGTTGAACAAATGGGGAAACCACAGGAAATTGAAACTAAATTTCATTTTTTTCTGTATGTCCAAGACAGAATAAAATCAGTGTCTTTTCTAGTGCAACAAGGGGAATCATGACCACTAACATGTAGCATATTTATATAGTTAATAAAACTGTGAGATTAAGCATGTGGTTCAGCAGCCTGGCTCAAAGGGACTTCCATCCTGCTGACACCAGCGGGGCCTCCAGTGTGTAAGTCAGAAGAAGCAGAACACAGTGCAAGCACACACACAGGGCGGGCACCCCCATTTCATTCCTGCGTATGGCTGATGACTTGCCTGTGGGGCCAGTACCACACCGGTTTCAAGAGTTTTGGGGTAAGAGACTGCATAGACACCTGGCAAATGCTGGTCCCACGGAACAGGAGAAGTCTCTGCTAAAGGACAGTTGGGACCAGCTGCCTCTCCAGAAATATCGATCGTAGAAGATGACTTGTCTGAATTCCGGGACTTCATTTTTCCCTCTAGGTGAGTTTGATATTTCTTTGTTGGATGCCTCAAAACGTGCCTGCTGAATCGGGGGCTCAGCTCTTGATGGTTCTTCGGTGCCTGAGACCTCTGCGCATATTCAAACTGGTGCCCCAGATGAGGAAAGTGGTTCGAGAACTTTTCAGTGGCTTCAAGGAAATTTTTTTGGTATGTTACAGCCACCCTCCCTTTCCAGCTCACATGTTATTGCCGGAGGATTAGAAAGGCATTGACCAAACACCGCACATGTCCACAGCTTTACCTGTGGGTACTGAGGGCTCAGCATTATATTTAATTCAGTGAGCATTTTAGCGAACTCAAGAGAAGCCCTCTGGAAAACATGATGGAAGGAGAATCCCAAGGGACACTATTTGCTGACGCTTCCACCCCTAACTCTTGACCCTAATTTCTACTCTGGGTTTTAGTTTCTGCATCTGTAACTTAAGGGTATGAAGACTGAACAGCATCTGCTTCACAAATGGTGTTGAGATTTAACACATTTGGACTCACAATCTCATTCTGTACATCCCAAATTCATAGAGCATAGAATCTGGCTCTAATCTTTGGAGTGTTAACACAAAGCAACTTAAAATGTATGTGACATACAGATCTCCCTATTTCAAGTGACCTCACTATACAGCAATGAATACTTACAAATGAGACTGAGGGGAAAACATTCTTTTTAGTTGGACACACATTGATATAGGGACTTCTAAGAACAGGGCTGCAGATAAAACACTGGGTAAGAAGCTCGTTGCTCCCAGTGTTACGGAAGGATCACTGCCTTACGAAGGAGTGATCAAAGGATTCTCATTCCTATGAGCGAGTTCTGCTTCGGCATAGAATACATGAATTCATTTACATGAGCTTGTTTTATATCTTGCTTTCTAGAAACACACCTGTGGTGAGAGAACACCTGTAGTTGCAGTTGATTCTAAGGTATTAAAGGCAGGTTGTAGTGTTACTATAAGCATAATATTTTTTAAAGACGTGTTTAAAACCCCATACTTTCTTTGTGCTGGAGTCATAACACAGTGAGCTCTTCACAGAGCTGCAACTGAAGGAAAACAGAACATCGCCTGACAGCTAATGTATGTGCATCTTGGAGCCCTGCTAAAATTTAGAAGAGAATCTATTTGTGCCTTTCTCCTGATGATGTTTCTGTGCAATTTTAGTGTATTTAAGGTGTATGTTTAGATCATTGAACCAGTACAGCTCGGTGGTTGGTGCAGTATTTAACACTTCGCCTCCACTTTTCTCTGCAGACCAAAGTAGTCATCCAGTAGGGGGAGCACCAGTCAATTAACAGATTTGCTTTTCAGGACCAAATTATCAGGCCTCCTCCAGGGGCAGCACATTTCTATGTCCTGGTGCTCACAAGAAAGCAAAACCTCTGTCCCTCTAATGTGTACTCTGCTAATAGAGATGTGAATCCATTTTGAGAAAATGGGGGGAAATAATTGTTTAAACATTTTTTGTTCCATTAAATAAAATAAAGCAAAGTGTTTATTTCAAAATCAGGTAAGTCCAACACATGTCAAAAATACCTTAGCCTTAGTTTTTTGGTGTGCAAGTTGTTTGTTTTTATTGTAAAAATTCAAAAGCTGTCATTAATTTCCTTCTTTTAACATTCCAGCAAAGCTAATTGAATGATCAGTGGTGGAGAAGTTAAAAGATAGCATCAAAAGACCATGAATTTCATAAAATGTTATCTACAAAGTCCTCTACATATCATTGTTCAAATCAAACATACTGTTTAATTTTTTACCAAGAGATTTGATATCTCACCAATTTCTTTCAGGTCTCCATTCTTTTGCTGACATTAATGCTTGTTTTTGCGAGCTTTGGAGTTCAGCTTTTTGCTGGAAAATTGGCAAAGTGCAATGATCCCAACATTATTAGAAGGGTAAGATACTTCTTTCTGTCTTTTGAGATAAAACTTAGAGTTTCCCACCCCTTGGGCAGCATGCATGGAGGCTACTTTGAGAGCCCACTCACAAAACCTCCAAGAATTATCTTCCTACAAACTCCTTGTGCTTAGGACACACGTAGTCTCTTCTGGCTAGCAAAAGTTTGTAAGTTTAAAAGCACACCTCAGAGAATGTTGCTCTTTCCCCCATTCATTCCAGAGCTGAGTCCCTGTTGACATCGCCAGCAGTCACCTAACACTCCAGATGTTTATTGCTGTGAGCCTCAGAAGCTTTTCCTGCAGGTCTCCCCTAACTTAATCCTGCCTTCGTTAATACATGAGATGCATCAGCATACAGCCCCCCAAAAAGGGCAAGAGGCAGAGTCTGCCTTTCACACCCTTGTTATGGCTTGTCCACTCCAGCGTTCTCACCATTAGGAAGCCAGGGTCTGGCCTTACCTCTCAGCAGCCTGGAATCTTCCCCGTCAGATGACTAAAGAAACCCAAGTTCAAATACTTCCCCTGCTGCAATTTTCTCCTTTTTTGGTCAGTGCTGGGAAGAGGACGCCCACTGTTGGAACAGCCCCCACACTGCAATCACTGAACATAGTGAATATATTGCATCTTGGATAAGTTGGACAGCTCACCTGCAAATGATCTTGCAGGGACTCAAGTTCTTTTGTCTTGTGTCCCCACCCTTTGCTCTCTTCAAAGTCCTCTTCTTGAGCTGGCAGATAAGAGCAGAAAACCAGCTCCGTCTGAGAGGGCTGTGAGCTGAGCGTACACCTCACTTCAACCCCTGTTCTCCTGGAAAGAGGCTGGCCTCCCCATCGCAGGGGAAATGTAGCCTCACGGTGCATTCTGCAGAAAACCAGACACAGTTCTGTTAATAATTAGTCAGCCGCTGCTGTTACACTTTCCATCACCCCTTTATCTTAGAATTTTGCCCTATACTACAAGTAGATTAAGGAAGTAAACCAAGTACAGTATAAACTAGCAAAAGCATTTTCTTTCATCCAGGTGAAATAATGCCAGAATCCCATTAAAAGGCATGTTTCCTTTTGGTCTACTAGAGCTGGACTATAATACATATCTAATACATTTCCGGCAAACATGGCTAACTAATACAGATTTTATATCAGTACGAAGAGTCCTACATTTTCAGGCTTCTAATTATAAAAATTATAGTTCTCTAATGGTTATAAAATATAGGCAGCATTTTTGTCCAGACGAAATACATGCTTGATTATGTTAATAATGAGGATTTCAGGAATGGCAGGGCGGGAGAGACACACATAGTCTGGGTAGACCGTATGTTATCTCACAAACACCACCTGGGTCACTGCTTCCTTTAATACACCCCCTAAGGATTCCAGGAACTGCGATAAACCCAAGAAGACAGGGAACAGGCTGTAAAGGTCACGGTGTACCAAATCAGCTAACAAAGGAAGTAGTAAAGAGCTGATGCATTAGACCACAAGCTTGGATAAGGAAAGAATGGTTATTTTAGATCCACAGTGAATAGAGGCCAGGAAGATAATAACAACATTTCAAGATGAAGCCTAGTAGGAATCTTGGATGACTCAGTATATTAATAATGGCCTCAGAGCATTGTGATTTTTTTCACTGTCTACTCATACACAGAGTAACGCTAAAAATAGAGGGACAAAAGCTAAGTAATTTGTCCAAGGTCACCTCAAAATAGGAGGAGAGAAGCTAGGATTCATGTCCAGGCAGCTGGCCCCATAGTCCAGGCTTTTAACCAGGATACTAGGCTGCCTCTCCCAATCAAAGGTGGGCTCCAAAGGGCCCAGAAAGACAAACTGGAGGAGGCCATGAGGCCAGATATGTCATGGGGCCTCTGTATGGTGCACCACACACTGCCGCTTGGAGTGATTTTGTGGATGAATATGTATAGTTATTCTGGGAAGATAATTGCAATGTATTTTAACTGGAAAAGTGGGCTGGAAAGAATAAAAATTCTATTATCTCACGTATGCATATGAACCAGAATGGCCATTGTGTTTGTCTTTGGGTAATCATAGGTAGGTTTATCCGTACTCTGTACGTTAAAGATGTATTACTTGTGTAAGAAGGTTTTTATTTTAAAGAATTTTTTTAGTAATCCAGAGAGAAGCAATGTTGGTATTAACTAAACCAATTGACATAAAAATGGAGATGTGGCCCATGTGGGATGGGGAAGAGCCATAGACAACTGTGAGATCTTAATGCTGGGTTGTTGATAGGGGGATGGTTCATGGACAAATATGAGGAAGCCAGGAGGTGCCATGTTTTAAGCTCAAAGGTGACTTTAACAAATTAAAATGTGAAGTTCTCTTGAAATATTCAAGTGTATACACCTCGAACCCAGAAAAGAGGTTTAGGTTGAAACACGGCAGTGATAACTAAAGCAGAAAAAATAACAAAAGGGAGAATAAAAACAGAAAGTGAGAAACTTCTTATAATGTTTTACTTTTTAAATTTTTTGCAAATTTCTTTATTGAGATATAATTCACCCACTTCAAGTTCACAGTGCAGTGGTTTTTAGTATATTTGGATTTGTCCAACCATCACCACAGACTATTTTAGAACATTCTCATCACCTCAAAAAGAAACTTTATCATTTAACTGTCAATAACCTCTATGCCCTTATCTCCCTGACCTTCCATCCATAAACAACCACTACTACTATCTACTCTGTCTCCATGGAGGTCCCTGTTTTGGGCTTTCTTATGAATGGAATCATGTGGTATGTGGTCCTTAGTGGCTGGCTTTTTTCACTTAGCATAGTGTTTTCAAGGTTCCTCTGTGTTGTAGCATGTGTCCATACCTCATTCCTGTTTATAGCTGAGTAATATTTTGTTGTGTGGGTAGAATACACTTCGCTTCTGCATTTGTCCATTGATGAACATTTGGATTTTTCCACCTTTTGGCCATTATAAATGATGGCTATTTATAACAATAATGATATAAACATTCGCGTCCAAGTGCCCATGTATTTTCATTTCTCCTGGGTAGGCACCTAGAAGTGGAATTGCTGGGTCCTATGGCAGCTCTTGGTTTAATCATTCGAGGACCTGACACACTATATTCTAAAGCAGCTACACCATTTCCCATTCCCACCAGCAGGGTCTGAGGGTTCTAGATGAGGATTCTGATTTCTGGACCTCCTCAATAGACCTCATTGTTATTTGGCTTTTGAGGATACTCTTCAGTGGGTGTGAAGCGGTGCCCCACTGTGGTTTTGATTTGCATTTCCCTGATGACTAACGATGCTGAGCATCGTTTCATGTGCTCCTTGGCCGTACATGTGTCTTCCTGGGAGGAACGCCTGTTCAGATCCTTTGCCCACTTACTAATGTTTTCAGCATGAACTTTCACCTCTCATCTCTGCAGTCCTTGTTACGTACAGTTTGCTGGCCCACATCCCTGTCGTCGGACAAAGACCTTTGTTGTTCTATCTAAAAAGTATTTATTATCTTTTATCTTTTCTGAGTTCATTTTCTGACAGGGTCCCTCTTCTTCCCCCATTTTAGGAGGATTGTAATGGCATATTCCGAATTAATGTAAGTGTGTCCAAGAACTTAAATTTAAAATTAAGACCTGGAGAGAAAAAACCTGGATTTTGGGTGCCCCGTGTTTGGTAAGCATATCAGAAAAATATCCTGAAAAATGCTGTATTTATCAGCATAAGGTTTTAAATCAGTAGAATATGACATGAAACTAAGAGTAAGTCTGCTAGAGATGTTAAAATGAATTTAAGTAACATAAGGTAGAGTACTGAATTACAACAGGATGCAGTAAATTAAAAATACAGTAAATTAAAGAGTGAGTGGTACACTGAGGCCCATGTTGCTCCTTGTCACTGATGAAAGATCTCTGCAGTATTTTTCTAATATTTTAGATGTACCTCACTTCACATGGCTTTAAAAATTGATGAGGTTTAAAAACCAAAGATTTCCTATAAAATTAAAACTAAATAGTCCTAAGTTTAGATCTTTAAGGGGGGGATCTAATATCCTCATAACAGTTGTAGAGATGCCTACATAATAATAAAGCTATTAAATTTTTAAAATCCATTTATATTGAAGGATTTCCATTATTGAAACTCCACAAAGGAATAATCGGTAACACAATTTATTATATCTAACTCTCTCTTTAAAGTTCATTTTTTTGAAAATGAGTTTCCCAGCATTTACATCCAAGCTGGAGGTACCTGGTACCTTCCTGCATGACGGCCGTGCATGAGGCCTCTCCCTGGGCTTCACTGATGAGCCCAGTGTTGCATCGACGTCCCTGATCCTTTTAAATCGTTATCTGTTTTCCTTTCCTTTCTTAGACTAATGAGTGAACCACAGTGACTACTCTGCTTTGTTACAACTGATGTTCTCTACTAAATGTCAAAACTCTTCAAAAGGAATAGCTTCCCCAGGACTCACTGTTGCCTGCATTGGCATTTCTCTAACATGAAATTCACCTTTATGATCAACCCAGTGCAACTGATACTGGGTTTTTATTTTTTTAAATAACAAAGAATTATGAAAAAGAACAAAGATGAATTTTGGATGTGTGGCTTGAGCACAGGTAGAGAAGTGTATGACCCATGGGGCATCCTTAGTTCAGTGCTAACCAGAAAAGCAGTCTAACGTACCTTCAAATACAACATTTAAGCGTAAAAAGATTTTTTTTTTTTTTTTGGTTTGGTGAAAACTTATTATTATACCATAAATAATTAGTTTATATCAGAACATAAAATGGGATTTTTTTTTTCCTGCTGTTCTGGAATTTGGGCTAAAGCCTTAAAGCTGAGGTCAACAGGAGACAGAGTATCAGTATATTCTAAAGAGAGCAGTAGACAGTCCCACAGGACTCACTCAACACAGAACTCACCCGCATGAAAAAGAACCGCTCAGGCCGCATCACGGGAGCGAGCGAACTCAGTAGCGAGGCTGGGGCATCCGTCCTCCCAGGAGACACTCCCCCACTGGCCAGGGGAGGCCCCCAGGGGGGCCGTCTGAGTTTGCTGTCAGAGATCGGCAGGGCAGGAGGAGACGCTCTTACGGCCAGCTGCTGGCCCTCATCTGGCAGGGGAGGGCGTCTGGCTGTCCTGCCCAGGGCCACCTGCTGAGAGCCTGCTGCGAAGGGCTGTGTGCTGGGGGGGAGGCGCCCCTGCTGGGTGAGGCTGCGGGTGTGTTCCCAGAAGTGGGAGCTGAGAACCAGCTAAGGAGCACCCTCACAGGAGGCATGGCGCGCTGGGGCATCTCATGCTGGGGAGTATTTAAAATCCAGTGCAACAAGAGAAAATTGGAGGTACAGGACTGCCACAAAATCAAGAGACAATTGCCATTGAAAAGATAGTTTGTTACCCGTAGTTCCGAAGGGGAGGGAGCACAGCACACCCCCGGGGCTGCCCAGGAAAGCACCGGGGTCCGTCGGGAGGGAGACGAAAAGGGAGAACTCTGGACAAGAACCTTTGTTTTGGCTTCCCTGGGAAGGAATGGGTGAGGCAGGAAGAGCAGGCTTAGGACTGGCTGGCTTGAATCAGTTTAGTGGGCTCTGGGGCCTGGGGAGGTCCCTCGTGGCCCAGAGGGTGAGAGCAACTTAAAGGAGGCAGGTGGGGCTGTGGACTCCAGTTGGTCTATTTGAAAGGCACCCTCTATAAGAGAGCCCTAGAAGGGGCTCCAGCGGGTGGGAGGAATGAGGGGGACCAGGGAGGCGTGAGGCCAAGGCAGGGTGATGCAGGCGCCTCATTGGGCAGTCCAGAACAAAGTGTGTCCAGCACGTGTACGTGGGACAGATGTTAAAGTATCAAGTTTACAGATGCTAGAAACAGGGCAGACCATGTGCTCCATGAAGAGCCACAGCTGCTGTGACGTGAGCACCTCTGGCCAGAGACCAGGAGCATGAGAGGGACTCCTCAACCTCTCTGCCCCCACCGGCATCCCACCCAGTCTTGTTTGCATCAGATGGAGACCCGAAGGGGACCAGGCGGGGCAGCCAGCACGCCTCCTCGTCCAACCAGGGGTCAGGCTGCGCAGCTCGGGGCGGGACCCTTGTCCGGGTCGGGAGAGTGAGGGTGTGATGTAAAATGGAATGGACTTTTTAGAATGAGACTGATCTTCAGCAGAAAGTGACCAAATAGCTTTAGGATCTCCCCCAAAATGTCAGGAAAGGAGCTAGAACACCCTGGAAAGCAGTGTAAGGAAAAGTAAACGTGCTCCCATTGTATCCTATGGCATTCGACCTCTTCCGTAAAACCAGCCACCTATGACTTTAAAAAGCAGAGTCAACTGAAATACTGTGTTTTATTTAAGTTAGGATTCAATTTCAATGACACTTCAAAAGCGTAAGTGAACAGAGGACCATCCTTGAACACCATCACCATAGCTTTTGTCCATTTGTTCAGAATATTGTCACTTGGGTTAGTTTTAGTGAAATAGAAATCTTTCAAATCAATGTTAACTATAACCTTGACAAATTTCACATTTTCTTTCTTTAGTAAGCTCATTAAGAGCTCGCAGCTGAAAATTTTGTAATTTTATATTGGCTAATTTATGATTAAGAAAACAACTTATATATGGGAAGTGCTCTAGAGGACTGCTTTGATAATTATAATTAGGACATAAATATGCACTATCTAATCCCAAACACAGTCAGGCTTCTAAATGTTCTCTTCAAATGAATACATTATTTTTATTCTGAATCACTCAGAATTGATGAGATAAAAATTACCTTGGTAAAAAGGATTAAACCTATCATACCGTATAAATATTGTGTGTTTTGTTTTAGCAGAGGTCTGAAATGGAGGAAAATAGAATGCATGAGAGAAAAAATTTTTAATAGTTTATAATAAATATACTTAATGAGTGCTTACTGTTGACCAGACATTATGCTGTCACTGTGGCCCTGACCCCTAGGAACTTGGAGTCTAGTGGAGAACAGAAAATAAAATTACAAACAATTTAATATAATACTCGAAAGGCTTTGATGCTACATAAATAAGCCCTTAAGCTCACTTCAAGCTCACCTGAAGCTTACCTCCAGGTACTTTTAAGTACACTGTGAGACATTCTAAGCAGAAGGATATCAGATTTTTGTTAAGTCTAAGGCTTGAACAATTTGGGTATGCTTTTTAAGAAAAAAAGGTACACCTTCCTTTTGTGTACTTTTGTAAGTTTAAGAAAAACATGAGTATGTGAACTCACTGCTCATTTTGGACAATGTCCTTTCCTGCTTGTCTACATCTAAGGGCAGAGGCTAAGTTCCTTTCCTCCCTGGGGCCCCATCTTCCAGAGAAGGAGCAGCAATCCTTGTCGTGGCCTTGGGACTTTGGGGCACTTTCACTAGGAAGTAAAAGAGGGACCATATTGTGAGGAGAGAACCAATGTCTTAATTTTCCAAAATGGATAAACAATATTATAATATTTTAAAAATTGACCAGAAGAGGTGATACTGAAATAGCCTCCCAAATGAAGAAGGGCAACAGGAATAGTAACAATAATGGATTGTTTGGCATTTATGGACATCTTCTGTAGTTACAGGGAAAGTTGCAAACTTTCCAATGTTAATAGCATGAGCAAAGCATAAACACACACCTTACATGATTAAAACTGAGACTTTTTAATGTTCTTCCAACTGTTTAAGTCTATGATTCTCCATTTTTATTTTTCTTGATTTAGCCTAGAAGTGTATTTTTAAGAAATTCTGACTTTTAAAGGATGTGCAACATGAAAGGAGTTTAGGTTGCTGCGAATTCAGCTAAAACTCTTCTACGTAAAGAAAATGAATGAGTAAGGAAGTTCAACATCAGATCTGAGAGCTGACTCACTTGGTTTTCTAAAAAATCATCATTCAGGAAAACTGTGGTATTTGTAGAATCCTTACAGCTTCTGTCTGCTGTAAAATACATTAAATTTAACTGAGCTCCCCCTCACACAAAGGTTACTGGAAATATCCAAGAGAACATGCTTATACTTTCAAACTTAAAAAATATATATCATAATCCCAAAGGATGAATTTCTGAGTGGGACTTTTGCACTGTGTAGAATTTCTACCATTCAGCCTTAAACATTTATTTAGGAACAAATCAGTTTCTGTTTAATAGTTTCTTATAAGATCCCCATCCTTTTAGTATTAAAAAAGAGAGAAACCTTCTAAAGTTGTATTGCATGATTGTTTCTATGCTTTAAGACTTAAAAGGTGGTTGAAAAATACCAAGCCAGTTTCCCCCAGAGTGTTGCCTTATATGAAGGTTAAGTTTTGATGAATGAGCTAGCAGGAAAATAAAAACTACTAAAATACTATTTAGCTAAGAGTTAGTAGGCCTATTCCATTCAACAGTCCTGAGACTGATCAATTCTCCATCAGATTCAAGAAATGTAATGGTAGTCATGATTTTGCAGTGTGTGGTTAACCAAATATTTTAATTATTCATAATAGCCTCTCATAAAGAGAAAAGGCAAAGAAAAACACTGCCATCTTCTATTAACATCAAAAATGTTAGCTAAGTCCCATAATGACTACAATGCAATGTAATATTGAGGATCACTTTTATTAGTGGGATGAAACAAAGTATATACAGAAAAACAAGAAATGGAACATTCCCCTCCCAAAAAACCCCAATGGGGTCAAAGGGTTTTAAATAATCAGGTATCAGCTGTGCGTGTCAACCGCACACTGCCAGTTAGGGTCTGCAAGAGTATCTCTTGAGGACACTCAGAGTTCATGAGACAGAAAAATCCATCTGGGAGAGAAGGATCTGGAAACATGCAGGCTGTGAGCACACACCTCTTGCCATCTGAGCGACCTCTGGACATATCACTACTTTACATGACATTCACATGACACAGAAAGAAATAAAATGGCCAAATTTGACTCTCTTGACACTTCCTATAGTCACATCGGGAATTGTAACTTATGCTTTAGAAATGTTTTGAATTATGAAACCATTGCAAAGTTCACATCCAAATTCCAGTGCCCCTTTGTGACATTCTATATGCAATTTCTAACCAGGAGGTACATTTCCAGCACTCCGGACCATCAGGACAAGCCAGAAAAAGAAACTGCAGAACCTCTAGAGCCAGAACTCAAGTTGTGTAGCATTTGTGTTGTTTTCAACTGAGAACACCCTGTCATTATCTAATATTAATTACATCATCAGTAAATGATAACCCACAAATGTCTTGTTCTGATTCATCAATGAATACCATCTAGCTTACCTTCCAAGTGCTAAATATACTCAGCACCCCAGCGGATATTTGCCGTAGGGTGCTTCTCACTGGAATTTCACAGAGCATTCCTCTTTCTGACTTGCAGGGCGAATCCTCGGAACTTTAATTTTGATAACGTGGGAAATGCTATGCTGGCACTGTTTGAAGTTCTGTCCTTGAAAGGCTGGGTGGAAGTGAGGGATGTTATCATTCATCGTGTGGGGCCGGTAAGCAAGCACAGAGAATTCTTTGAACACTGCCACAGCTGCTTTCATTTGCTTTGATGGAATAACCGTATTTTTCATTTACACAGATGCATGGAATCTATATTCATGTTTTCGTTTTCCTGGGTTGCATGATTGGACTGACCCTTTTTGTTGGAGTAGTTATTGCTAATTTCAATGAAAACAAGGTAAGAATTCTTGCTTAGAATAAGAGGGTTTATTCCTTTCTAGCCACTTGCTTTGAGCTCTCTTTTCCACCCACGGCATGAAGTCGCTTTCCACTGTAATGTGACTGGTGTAAATAATCTCTCTTGACTATTTTACAAGCTACCTCCTTGCTGCCTTTCAGACACATCATTCAAGAGCACAGTTCTCTTGCTAGATTTCCCCTTTTGGTAATGGTGTCGTTAATTCACCCAGCAACTAAAAGGCGCATCTCCTATTGTTCATATTGAAAGGATGTGCAGCCAGTTATTAAAATACAATAGCAGAAGGATGCGCTGATTGCGGGCGATGTTGCTTTCACAAAATGTAGATTGGATGCTCCTTTGTGACTCAGTAGGTGAACTCAGAATTTTGATGGGGTTTGGGAGTGCCGTCAAAAATTTTAAATCCCAATTCATAGAATAAGGCAATTTTATAATTTCATATAAAAACTTTACCTACTTTATACACTCGGGAAGCATGCTGAGTTCATAACACCTCTGCTGATTATCATAAGAGCTCACAAATGAGAAAAGAGCAAGTGTAGTTTCCTGTCAAAAAATGGGTTTGGGGAAGAACGTTCTGTGTTGTTCTGAATGTGGCTGATACATCCTCCACTGCATGACTCTTCTGGAGTCATTATAATTGATGATGCATATACAGATACATACAGCTTTTGAGCCCTTACTATGCAATAAGATTTAATACAGGCTACTTTCAATTCTCCCAACTCTGAAATGGCTGATTGAAGAAAAAACAGCTTCCAGAGGTGAAATAACTTGTCTGAGACTTTATAAGGAGTAAAAAATGGGGCCAGAATTCAGAAGTGGTACCTATTACTGTCGAGTCGTGATTGTTCAGATCAGAACATCTCGGTTGTTCTGCATTGAATTAAAGCTCAACGTGCCAGCATTAGCACCGTGCTGCTCCTTGTCATTCATGACAAGGACTGATTCACACGCATTCACATCAGAGCCCTTTGGTTTGTGCAGCCACACATGGGACTGTATCATTCACAGTCCCCCAGGCTCCACGTGTGTGGTACCAGTTACTCAGTCAATTGCCCCTTTGATGTGCTCCTAATGAGGATGTCATTTCGTTCAGGCTTTCAAAGGGTGCAGCTTAAAAATCCCCTCTTTGGGCCCCAACACTACTCCAACCACAGAAGCATGGAATTTGGAGTAAGAAAGCACAGAGATCATACCGCCCAGCCCCCTATTTTACTATCACACATTTCGTAAAAGAGTTTCTTTAAGCCCTACAGTGTGTTCCATTTAACACCAAGCAGAAAGAGAAAGATGGATCTTTTTAGAGACCTTTGAGCCTGCAATAGAGCTGACACTTGGAATTCTGGAATACTGACAGAAGCTAATCAGTCAGTTAACAGGGAGTTTAGGCACTGCCTGCTCAAAATGCTGTACGAGGCCCTCTGAGCAGACACCTGACTTCAAGAGCCTTAGGTCCTATAGCAGCTCACAATTCAGCAACATAAGTGAACCAACGTAAAATATTCAGTTACTGGAGACAAATCAATTACAGCTCTTAGAGGAATGGCTAAAGTATTCAGAATAACAAGAGGTTTACTCACAGCATTTATATTTATGTTCTAAAGGAAAAAAGAGGTATCTGGCCTAAGAAGCAGGAACAGGGATGTAAGTTCAAATGAACACTTGGAGAAAGAGGAGAAGTAGTAGAAATCATATTACCTGACATTATAAACTTGAGTAGTTAATTGGAGCTTTACCTGAACCTTTCAGAAAAGACTTCTTTCTGCACATTCTTCAGATGGTAGCCCACAGTCTGCTTTATAACAGCATTTATTCGTTTATTTATTATTCAATCATTCAACAGAGTTCTTTGAGCACTTTCTAGGCGCCAGACACTGCATTCACCCTGAGAACATGACAAGCTGAACATACAAACTAAATACTAAATGCGTAACGATCTCTGCTCTCATGGGGCTCACATTCTAATGGTCGTACCTAAAGGCTTATAAGTAGGTTTCCAAGAGGCAATAGAGAAATATAAAGATATGGGAAATAAAGTAAACTTTGAGGGCAATGGTTTCACAAGTCAGAGTTATACAAAACTGAGTCATCGCTAGAAAATGGAGCCCTGTTTAAAACGTTCAGAGACTCTAGACTCTACCAGTAATATATGTATCTTTTAATTTCCCTCCTGTAAGACAATCTGTTTGATTAATAAACTTAATTTCACAATGACAGAACTTTCAGTGTTTCATATATTAATGATCAAATGAGATCACCATGCTTATTATTCTTTGGGATTCTTTCAGAGTTCAACTCTCCAAAATATCTTGTTTTGTATAATAAAGGAATAATAGGAGCATCTCTAGCATCCAGAGAACAAGTATTTGTCACAGTTAGTGAGAAAAGTGGTTTAGCAATATTAATACCAGGAAAAATTTAATTTAAAACAAATGTCATTATTAGGAATAAACAGTGTAATTAAATAATTGCAGAAGAAACCAATCACCACCAAAGGATAGAAGTCCTGAACCTTAAAATGTATGAAGCAAAATTTAACTAAATTATTTTAAAAAGCTAGCAAATGCAAAATTGTTGTGAAGGATATTAACATATTTATCTAGGAAACTCATAAAACTCATAAAGACAAGAAAAGGAAAAAGAAAATTTCAGATTTGATACAATAAAAACATTTGATCTTTGGGACATCTAAGGAACCCTGACCCCAACAATTTTCAAATACTCAAGGCATCCTCTCCAAGTTCATAAAATAATCATTACCAACAATTTAATAATGTACAGAACATGATCTCTACCAAAATAAAAAAAGGTAGCAAAGAATCCCTCCTAATGTGGAGATATTAAGACTATGTTCTAAATAATTTGAATTACAAAAGAAATCAGAATAGAAGATCACAAAACATTTATATAAATCATTTCTAAAAATCCCATGTGAAAACTCACAAGATATAACAAATCATGAATTAGAAGGAAATTTATAGCTTTAAGAGTCTGTGTTAGAATAAAATCAAAGATTAATTACTATTATGTCAAATATCCAAATCAATAAATTATAATAAGAACTAAAAAAAATTATAGAAGTAAAATTGAAAAAAGTAGAAAGAAGAAAGTAACAAAGACAAGAAATTAATGGTTTAGAAAGCAAAGTAATTATACAAAGGTTCAAGAAGGAGAGCTGACTTTAAAAAAAAATAAATTGAAAAAAACCTCTAGCCAGGTTGAGCATGAACAAAAATGAGGAAAAGGACAGGCTGTGATAAGTAAAACTGTGTCAGTATCATTACAGGGGTAAAAGTTAGACTTAGAGTCTGTAGAACAGGAAGCCTCAGGAGAGACCCATGTACACATAAAACAGAAGGTGCACAAAAGTCCATGGAGCAGGTAAAACTGTCAGTAAGTGATGCTGGGATAATTGCCTGAATCTAAGAAACTACATGGGGGGTCTTTCAACACAGTGTACTCAAAAATGAATTCCAGATGAATGAAAGATCTTGATTTATAAACTACGTAGAATTTATTTTTGATCCTGGAGTAATTGTAGATTTCTTAACATTAACCAAAATGTGAAATCCATAAAGAAAAAAAACCCTACAAATTAGATTACATGAAAATTAAAAGATTATGAGTTATTAAAGACATGCAAGCAAAATTAAAAAGAAAAAACAAGGCTAAGAGAAAACCTTTATAATTCAAATAACTGACATATTAGTATCCAGATATATTAAAAATGTCTACAAAACATCAAAAAGTAAATATACAAATACAAAAATAAGCAAAGATTATGAACAGGCAATTCACATGGGAGATACAGGAATCAACATTTATACACATAAAAAATGTTTAATCTTAATACCAAAACTATTACACATTTTATACCCATGTTGGCCAAATTAAAATGTCTGATAATGTCAAGTATTAGCAAGAATATAAGGAAATGGGAACACCTGGAGGTTGCTAGCAGCAAATTTTCTTCATTATTCATCTTTGGACAGCAACTTGGCAATATCTGGTAGATGTAAAGATGCATAAATTTCTAGACCCAAGCAATTACTCTCCTAGAGATTTGCCACAGAGAAAGTCTCATAGATGTTTACTGTGGCAGAGTACATGTGTGTTCACTGCAACAGTGTTTAGAGTCCATAAACCTAAAACCATTAATTTCTGATGTATTCATGCAAAGAGATACTATAGAGCAGTTAAAGTAAACCAATTAGATCTAGTATCTAGTTGTATGGAAAACAGTGTTGTATGAAGATAAAAACAAACTGCATAAATAAGCACATATTGGATACCATTTATATAAATATTTAAAATTCAAAACAAATAACATTCTTCAGTACTGATACATAGACAAACAGCAACAGCTTGAAAACACAGGGAGAAGGCTGTACCCCCAAAGAGTAATCATTAACTCTGGGGAAAGGAAAGAGGAGTGGGGGTGGAGGTGAGTGGTTTTTTTTCCAATTTATGACATGAAATGTAATATTTTTATGTGCATTTTAATGAAGTACTTCATTAATATTAAAGAATATCTGGTCTTACTTAGCCAGCCGTCACAGCACCAGTTTCTTAAAGATCCAAATTCTATGACTTCCTACCACTTAAAAATAATTTTTCAATTGCATATATCAGAATGATTTTTTTTAAAAAGAACAAAATCCCCATAACCAGAAGCAGCAGCCGTGACAAGCTATAATTTTGCTGCAACATTTCCTACTATGGACTGAAAGGAAACTAACCACTATTTAGAGTGAGTATCCCTTTTTGAAAATTTAAGTATGTAGAAAACATTCTTTAGATTTGCCCAAACCTGAGTATCACTCATATTCAAAGATGACAACTGAGGGCTGCCGAATCTTCTCCGAAACCCATGGCCAGCCTCTTTGGAACGCCTCTCAAGACCAATTTTGAGAATTCTGACCATGTTTATTGAACCACCATGGTATTTGAAGAATATCTTTACTTTAAACCCCCAAATTCTTCCTGTTTGTATCACACCCCACCCCCCACCACCCACAATGCCCCTGGTGCAGAGTGTGCAACAAAGACTTCTTTCTGCCTTCCTTTGTTTATTAAGGGGACGGCTCTGCTGACTGTGGATCAGAGAAGATGGGAAGATCTGAAGAGCCGACTGAAGATAGCACAGCCTCTTCATCTCCCACCTCGCCCGGGTATCAAAGATGCTCTGATTTTATTCATGTTGGGCACGAGTGTTCATGAATCCCCAGGAGCCTAAGATTTCAATTAAAATAATAATCGTGAGGCCACTGGGCAGTTGTGCATAAGTTAATACAGAAACCTGCTCCCAACTACAGACCTCTCTATAGGCTATTAAAATCTACCACCCAAAGGCTGTGCTTCAATGCTCTCAGGATAAGCCTTAATGAAAAAATGAATTTTTAAATAAAATATATTTGTGCTTGCCTTTTAAACATATTAAGCTGACAGAAATTGAATGATGTGGTTCTCCTTCCAATACGGACGGCGTCACGCACCGTTGTGTTAAATATGCAGAGCCAGCCATTCCTGCAAAACATGCACAACAGACCAAACTGTAGGGGGAGAAACGTAATGGGTTTTGAGATGAGCATTAAAGAAAATGAAAGACAAGAAAGTAAATGTGACCTGTGTCTAAAAAGCCCATGCCTAAACCTTTCTTTTCCAGATAATGATGGTTTTAGAGCTAAGATGTATGACATAACCCAACATCCATTTTTTAAGAGGACGATTGCGTTACTCGTGCTGGCCCAGTCGGTGCTGCTGTCTGTCAAGGTATTTCATTGCACCCGGTGACTCTGGGAATGAATGTTTTATTCATGGGTGCGTCCAAGAATATTGCAAGAAGCCATATCCATTCACGGTCTAAGTTCGTTAGTATAAAAATTTTAAATCACACTCGTGCTCAAGCAGGAAAAAGAGGGGAAGGTCTTGGCGCGTCCGGTGGGCAGATGGATGTGCTGTTTCTGTTCCAGTGGGACGTCGAGGATCCTGTGACTGTTCCACTGGCAACAATGTCGGTCGTTTTCACCTTCATCTTTGTCCTGGAGGTACAGTAGGAGTCGGCGGGCACGGGGGGCGACAGTGCGCTTTGTAAAGGGCAACCGTGTCGTCCCTACTTTCAGGTCTGCGATCCACAGCTTTTGAAGTCCATTCTTGGAAGGCAAGGTAGCCTGCTCTTAGGCTGTTCCCTTTTTAGGCTGTTCTGCTTAGCTTGAACAAAGCCTTCACTTTATTTTTCAGGTTTTTCTGACTGCAGGAAGTGCTAACAGTTATTGATTGTTGTATCTGAATGTTGGCCTGTGTAGTTATGTGAGTTCAAATGTTAGCAAACAGCACAAACCACTGTGATTCAGGAACTCATAGTGCAATGCAGTAGCAGAGAGAGTCAGCCCAGGCAAGATTATTTTAATGGACAGTCCACATAACATCGTCTTCCAAGGCAGTTCTCTTTGAAATACAAGCAGATTCTTATCTCACCCTGTATTAGTTGATGTTTCCCCAAATCTATGGTCTTTACTTGAGGAAGAAAAACATCCCGCTATCAAAAGAGTGGAGAATACAGATTTGTAATTTACTCAGCTTAAAAAAAAAAAACATATATATACACATTAGTAATAAATTCTTCTCTTTGGTTTTCACAACCTTTAAAAAAAATGTGCCTCAAGTGAATACATTTAAACATATCTCAGCCTCCATTTACTGTTCATTGGTTTCCCCCAGGTTACAATGAAGATCATAGCAATGTCACCTGCTGGGTTCTGGCAAAGCAGAAGAAATCGATATGATCTGCTGGTGACGTCACTCGGTGTTGTCTGGGTGGTACTTCACTTTGCCCTCCTGGTAGGTGCCTAATTAGAGTTTATTTTAGTTGGTAATTTCTGCTCAGGTAACTCTCTGTCTGATCTCATTTCCTTCCATGTCAGCCCGCTCTCATGTGTCAGACTTAGCCTTCCTAAAATCCAGCCTTGACCAGACAGCCCCTAGGAGGTACTTGCACGCGCACGTGCACATACACACACACACACACACAATATTCATGCAGACAAAATCTGGCCCCTTAAGTCCTAGTGTGTGCAAGCCAGGAAGAGAAGAGCCTTAGAAATCTTCTGGTCTGACTCTCATTTTCCCAGAGGATAAAAATGAGAGAGAGAGAGAAATGGAAAGAGAGTGATTAAGAGGCCTGTCTAAATTCACAGTCAAGCTCGTATCAAAAACTTAAACCCAGTTTTCTGAGCTGATGTGCAGCGTCCATGCCGCTACATTATAATCAGTACTTCACAGTGTGATTTTCAGCCACTGCTGCTGTCTTATTCTCTGCTAGACATCCAGCCGCCATTTTTCTAGAGCCCGTCATTCCCCATCTCTACACCTCAGTTCCCACTCATGTGGCTAAAACGCCCTGAGCCTCCCACCCTCCACTGGGTCTGAGGTCCAGCTCAAAATCTGCAGCTAAAGCAGGGTTCCTGGACTAGGATCTAGAGCTGTGCTGTCCAGAGGAAATAAAATGCAGCCACGTGTGTAATTTCAAATTTTCTAGGAGCCATATTAAAGAAATAAAAGAGCCACAGATGGTGTTAATTGAATAATAATTTATAACCTACCATGTCCAAAATATTATCACTTCAACATGTCAGCATATATAGAAATTATTAAGGAGAAAGGCTACATCCTTTTTTTGTGCTTAATCTCTGATCGAGTGAGTATATTTACAGCACATATTCAGTTAGCCTCACCACATGCAAGGCCTCGGTACCGCTTGAGGCTAGTGATCGCCATACAGGACAGCTCAGCCCTAGGAGGCGTGGGTCCTGGTTACCCACATTTACCACGATTTCCAGCCTTGATCAAGTTATTTCTTCAGGAATTCTTTGTTCTCTGCTTTCAACTTGGGGATAGAACTTCGTAATCTACCTATTCCATGTGTGCATTATGAAGATGGAGCTGAGAAGTTGTTCTGCTGGTAAAGAATGTACCAACCTATACCACATTATTACAAACACCTTCGTTTTTGGTTAGCCTTCCTTGATCCCAGACAAAAGTAATATTCTCAGTTTTCCCTTCTCTCTTCTGGCCATTCTTCCATCCTCTGCAATATTAGAGTGGTGCTAGGAAAGATCCATAACACACAGAAGCCATTTACACATCACAAAGGGCTTGTTTTAGTATGGAATTGCTACGCTCAGAGACAGATATTGAGTGGCCTTCTTAAAACAATTGTCACCTTCAGCATCAGGGCCTCTGCCAAGCCTAGGTGGGCCATCAATCACCCTGATCCATTTCCTCAAACAGTAAATGGTTTTGAGCACTGGAGATGTGCCAGTCACTCTGCTAGAAACTGACAAGACTGTAATGAGCAAAACAGACACTTACTGCTCCCGTGAACCTCACAGCCAGAGGGGCAAGTAGGCAATCAGCTGGCCAATGCTCCCGAGTCAGTGACATCACAGCCCTGATGAGGGAGATGGGGGAGAGACCCCATTTCTGTGATGACTCAGCCCAGTGGACGTGCTTTCTTCAAAGAGGTCCTGGCAGGAATCCTTGAGGGAGTGATGATTAGGCTCCGGTGGGAGTGGGGCTGGGGGGTGGAGCCTGTCAGGCAGCTGCCCAAGTGGAGGATGGTGCAGGCAGATTAATAGTGTGCCTGGAGCAGAAGCAGCGAGGGGAGCATGGCATGAGATCTGGATGGGGGAGGAGTCAGGCCTCTCAGGACCTTGTCTTGGGTTTGGCACCATCATCCTCGAAGCTGTTGGGTGTCATCACTTCCAGACTGTAAAGCAAGAAGGTATTGAGCCGACATGGAGAGGAACAGTAAAGTCCATGTTTTTATCTTTCTCCAAAGAAATGACAGCCAAAAGCACGTGACCCAAGCAGGTGAGTAGGGTAGACTTCCTCACCCCAGACGTCCGCAGAGAGGAACTCTCACACCCACAAGACCAGCTTGCCTGTTCTGCCTGACGGCTTTTGTTCCTCTCCAAAACATCCGGTCCTGGAAGGATGCTCCCCCTGCCCTCTATTTTACAGTGGACTGTTGTGAAGGAGACTGCAGTCCTTGTTGCCACGCACACATACTCATTTCCTTGTACCTCCCCAAGGATCGCTCTGGACCCCCTTCCTGGGGGCCCATCTGGGACTGATGTCACTTGGCTAGGCAAGGCTCCTGGAGAATGATCACCCCTTGGCATCAGCTCCATGCCACACTTGCTATGGCACATGCAGCTGCTGGGATCTTTGTTTCTAGGGTGGCACTTTCAGGGTCACAGAGTACCAAGTCATCCCTTGCTGCTGATCACCCCCTCGAAGACCCGGGCAGGAGAGACGTCTCTGATATCAGTTTAGGCTAATGTGCTTGGCTGGTCTCTAGAGGTCTCCAGAGACCCTCAGAAAGAAGGAAGCTGACCTCCGGCAGTCTTTCCCAATGCCAGACCTCCTTCTTTGCCGGGACCCCTTTATTCCCTGTCTCACCTCGCCTCCTCCTGTTGCACTGTTACGCTAGATTTTTCTTGCTCCTCAAAGGAACTGGTCACTATTTTATGTAAAATAAGTTTTAAAATACTGAATTCAACTGAGCAAAACAGAGACCAAGGTTTCATTTAAGATGTGATTTTATAGCTATTATTTATTCATGAGTTTTGGCAGTGACCTTTCCAGCACCTTTTTTAGATAAATTTCTTATAGGAAAGTTCACATTTTATTAAGTCAATTATTCAGCAGACTTCACAGAAGACTTAAAATGAAAAATGGAATTGCACTAAGATCTTTCATGCAAATTATGAGAGGCTCTCTTCTGTTTAATTTCAGAATGCGTATACCTACATGATGGGAGCATGCGTGATTGTCTTCAGGTTTTTCTCCATCTGTGGAAAGCATGTAAGTACACTACAGAGAGCAATGTCAAAGGTCACACACCCGCTGAGCAGAATTCAGCTGTCCTGGGTCTTCAGGGCTATAGTTAATTAACATTGCAAGTCATCATAAGTCTAAATCAGAGTGAATATTAAATATTAAAATAAATCAGTATAGCTTAGTTACCTTGTGATATGTTTCCTGACATTTATGTTGTTTTATTTATTCTTCATATTTGCTAAGTGAACTGAATCATCACCTAAGGTAATGTATCAGGCACAAAAGGAAAAAGCAAGTGTCTTTCTTAACACTTTTTTATGTTTATTGCTTTTACCTTTGTAAAGCAGTAAAGTTATTTTACTGCAAAGAAAAGGAATATTGAATGAAGATTTATGAGTTTGTGACCCTAGATTTCTTTACAGTCTTTATTCATGTTCATGTATGGTTCCACATATAGTTTTCAAATACTTTTTAAAGGACTGTGTTCTTTTTTGTTACTGGCATTATTTCACATACGTTCCATCTATCTGCATAATCAATACATTTAATATTCAATGGTATTTAGTATTTTGCCATTGTTCAGGTTTGTTTCTGTCAGCATCTGTGGAAGAAAGCTGGGTCTCCTTTCTATAGGCCAAAATGGGGAGCCCTTTTTGTAGAGAAACGGGGAGCAAGAGAAGAGAAGACGGAAGGCTAAACATCTCAGGGAGGAGCTTTTATTAATCTGGCTGAAAAGGCTGAACAGTTTGAAATACAAATAGAAATTCTCTCTGTTTAATTTTTCTTGCATGAAAGTCACATTTAGTACCTAATAGGGAGCTGTTTTCAAATAATGTCCTGGAGGGTCACTCTTGCACCAACCTGCTCTCATGTTGTTTATTTCCCAGGTTCTCCATGGCTTAATGAATTGAACATTCACACCCACCCCTCTCTCCCTCTCTCTTTCTCCACCTCCATCGCCATCCAGGTGACACTGAAGATGCTGCTCCTGACAGTGGTCGTCAGCATGTATAAAAGCTTCTTCATCATCGTAGGCATGTTCCTGCTGCTTCTGTGTTATGCTTTTGCTGGTGTCGTTTTATTTGGCACTGTGAAATATGGGGAGAACATTAACAGGTTGGTGTATGTTTACCTTTCTTCATTTATCTGGCAAACTGCTTCAGTAATGAAATATGAGTATAAGCCTGAATGATTTTTGTCTACTAAACATGGAGGGAAAGAGGGAAGCAATCAGCTGGAAATTAAAATAAAATAGCCACATTTTAAATGGCATTTGTATCATTGAAAACAGTATGCATGTTGACGTTTGCAATCTTAGAAAATCCAGAAATAACAGAGAACAAAAAGAATTCATCATCCCCCCACCACACAGGAATAACCACCTCTAAGAGCCAGATGAATTCCAACACCTCTTCTATCCAAATACTGCCAAAAAAATGATACATTATTTTTTAATTAAATAATTTTGAGATGGCTTTGGGTTTTTTCTTTTTCTTTTTTAGTGAAACATATGAAATTAGAACCTTCAAAATGACTATTATATATGAAAAGCATTTTTTAAGGATTACCTTAAATTTCATGAAAGTATCTCATAGTTTAAGACAAAAGTCTTTACACAACAAATGTGTCTTGTTACAGAGATTACTTATTTGATATGTGGCAGCTCCACATTTTATAGCGTAATCCATGTAAAAGAAGGAATCACTTTTGATTGCCAAAGCTCACTTCCTCAGGCATTTGAGATGAATGGCTGTAAATTGGTGGCACCGTGGTAGGGATGGGTTTTTCAGACACCTGTACTTGGAAACAGGTATAAATAACACACAAATAAGAAGTGAGACCTTTGGAAATGGTAACTTTGCAACCAAGTTTGCTCCCAAATCCATCTGTTTTGGTGGTGACAAACCCTAACTACTTCATTACTCACATTCTGTCTTTTTTTATTTTCCTTAAATTAGGCATGCAAACTTTTCTTCAGCTGGCAAAGCTATTACTGTCCTGTTCCGAATTGTCACCGGTGAAGACTGGAACAAGATCATGCATGACTGTATGGTAAACGTCTCTTGATCACTAACAGTGGCTCAACTTAAAATCCCATGAAACCCTTTGGTGATGCAATATTGGCACCATCATCCTTGTCAGCACCAAGACTTGCTGCACAAAACCCATATCCTGGCCTTTAGGTCCACAGTTGCATTCTTTTACATGACAGTATATGGACGTTCAGGAGAACATCCCGTGAACCCAACTGAGCTATTGTTCCATTCAACAACTACACATTATGCAGGCATCTTTCTTTCCCTCCCATCTTTACGTTTTGGCAGTCGAGTACCAACAAGGGAGTTCCACTCCCTGAACTGAATTTATTCCACAGATGCTCACTCAGCCCTGGTTTGTATGCGGCCCTATGTGAAGCACTAGGTCTTCAGTGAGTCCAAGGCATCCGCCCGGAGCCCTGAGCTCTCCTTTTCACTGGACACCCTCCCTGCTCCGGGCTCCTCCTTCACCATCCTTGAGGCTCACATTAAGCATCAGATCCTTCAGGAAGCCTGCCCTGTGCCAAGACTGCCATATATATGCTTCCAGCACTCAATTCCCCTTTGCAGCGTGTGCCACAACTGTAGTGAGAGATCGGCTTGATTTGTTTATTTAATCACTCTTACCTTCCAGACCAATGCTATCCAAAAGAAATTTCTGCAGTGACGACAACCTGCACTGTCCAGTCCAGTCACTACTAGCCATATGTGACATATGTGGTCCTTGAGCCCTTGACATGGGACTAGGGCTTCGGAGGGACTGAATTCTAAATTTTACATGTTTGATCTTAATTAAGATATGTTTAAATTTAAATAGCTACATGTAGTCCGTGGCTACACTGTGAGCAACATGAAGGAGGGTCAGGGTTTATGTGTTACTTATCGTCTGTCCCCAACACTGGCCATAAACCTAGCACATAGTAGGGGCTCCAGAACTTTATGCATGAATGAATGGGGAAATGTACTAAATCAGCATAAATTCTAAATAAAGACAAGCAGAATGCTGTGGGAATGTACAAGAAAGAGTCTCTCTGGCTGAAAGATACCAAGTTTCTCAGAGGCACTGGCATTTTATTGGGCCACTAAACACTGTGCTGGCTTTTGGTGACATGAATGCTCTGCTGGTGCTCTGACATCCCATCTCAGTGCTCCACGAATGAGGACTCCTGGCTACTGCTAACACAATTTGAATGTGAATGTGCAATGTGTATATATAGCAAATCTTCGTAACTCTTAACCCTTTACTTAAGTCAGAGGAGTTTTTTAAATGCCTTTTTATTTGACCTTCTGCTGTTTGCATCACACTGACTACTAGCACAACTAGTGGAAGTGGCAGAAAGAACATTTCTTGGAGAAAACTGGTTCATTTTCATTGTGCTTCTAAAATGGCAATGAACTTGGGGTTCTATGAGACTAAAAAGCACAGCATAAATGAAATACTCTTTTTGGTTTTTGCCACGGATGACATGCTTTATGTGGCTTCTGAAAGATTCCTTTGAAGCTAATTATATTTTATATGGCTAGGAATCTGCTCACTAACTACAGTCGGTTACAGAGCTGTGCGTTCCCCTCTCCCCTCACCCTGCCACCCCTGCCCCGCAGGTCCAGCCTCCCTTTTGTACTCCGGATGAATTTACATATTGGGCAACAGACTGCGGAAATTATGCTGGTGCACTTATGTATTTCTGTTCATTTTATGTCATCATTGCCTACATCATGCTAAATCTACTTGTAGGTAAGTGATGTTCATTGAATATGTTTTAATATCTCTAAACTCAGGTACTTAGATAATTATGCACAATTTTCAAGTAATTATCCTGGACTGCTTGGGGCAAGTGTTTCGTGGCATTAATTATGAATTGTTGCCTCTTGATCCAGAAGCTGAAAAGACCTTTGAAAGGCACGTAAATGACAGTTGATTGCAATGTCAAGAGTTGTCCTGTTTATTATGATCATTAATTTCAAAAGAGCTCTTCTCATTAAGTTGAACAAACCTCAGAGAGGGTTACCTTACAGTCTCAGAATATCACATTTATGTTTCTGAAGGTATACATTGTTCATTCAGCTATGGGGCCACCCAGAACTCACTTTGACCTTTGAAAACTGCCCTGGAACTCTCAACTAAGAGTGCAGGCCAGCTGGCACGAATATCTGTATACACAGACTGTGTGTTTATGCTCACGACCCTCATGTTTTGCGAAGGCAGGGGCTGCATAAATGGCTTAGTCCAAGTGTAAAACATGCCAACTTGGAAACCATACTAAAAAACACTTTAAAAATTTGGCTTACAATGTAGGTGATGAAATCTATCATTTATAATAGATGTTTTACTTTTTCTAAAAAAGTGACAGATTAGCACAATTATCTAACTTCACGATTTTTCTGTTTTTTTTCTTTTTCTAGCCATAATTGTGGAGAATTTCTCCTTATTTTATTCTACTGAGGAGGATCAACTTTTAAGTTACAACGATCTTCGCCACTTTCAAATCATATGGAACATGGTGGACGATAAAAGAGAGGTAAGAGTGGATTATTGTTTCATGCCCCACCCCAGGGAGGCTTTTTGCTGTATCTCAAACATTTAAATGAATTTGTTGTGGACAACTGACATTTGTTGAGTGTTTGAATGGCCATTGGTGTATTATTGCAGGAGGCTGTCACTGAAAAATCAGCAGAATATGCTAGGCAGAGAGAGGGACAGGCTAGGTCCCCCTCGTGTCCTGTCTAGCCATGAACAGCCTCTTCATCAGACATTCAGAAGGTCTGCAATGACAGGAAACCAGCCCTGGGCTCAACGCAAGGGAAGGGGAGAAGTTCAAATTACCAAAGCCACAATTCATGATAAAACATCTATTATAAATGATTTCATCACCTACATCGTAAGCCAAATTTTTTAAGTGTTTTTAGTATGGTTGCCAAGTTGGCATGTTTTATACTTCATAACACAGATTCACGATCAGCCTCAAACAACAATCCTGATTAGAGGTGCAAAGGAGTTATTTAAATGGTTTCTGAAAATTATTCTGAATTATTTTGGACTTACTATTTGAATGCGTGAATCAGAAAGCTTACCGAAGATGCCCTAGAATTAGCCAAAGTGGCAGCTGTTTCCTCCTCCACCTCCTGTGTCTCCCTCCTTCTCCATCCCAGCAAACACTCGAGCTCAGTTGTAGGTGCTGGGGATACAGCGTGAGCAAGATGGAAAGGTCCCTGTGCTTGCAGAGCTCCTGTTCTACCACAAGGAGACAAACGATAAAAAGTGAAATAATCATTACGATTATTATTATTATTTCAAGAAGCCATAAACACTCTGAAGAAGGCAATACTACAGTAGAGTCTGGCTGGGGGTATGACCGACTACTTAGCAGGGGTGGTCATGACAGCCTGTTGGGGGAGGGGCTTTTGGACCCAATATCAGAGAAATGAGGCAAGTTCAGCCATGGGAAGATCTGGGGGAAAATCGAAAATCATTTCAGGAAATGTTAGTGAGCTCACAAAGACCAAGGGGCCAAACAGGCCGTGTAAATGGGGGTCCTGGGCGGGAGCCAGGGCTTGCACAGCAATGCATGGCTTTCTCCCCATTTGCGCTCCGTCTGTGGCACCCGCACTTCACTCAGGCACCAGCCTTGGGGGCTTTCTCCAGGCACAGTGACCTGCACGTGTGGGCACCCAGCCAGCTCTCATCTCAGCTGGACCCACTCCTCTGCATGATGGAAACCCACTTGTCTCTGCCACACAGACGGAAGGAGGCGCTGCCACTCACATGTTAAGGTGTTTATCCAGATAGGAATTCACGGGCTACCAAAGTGCCTGCCTCTTGCCCAACACCTTAATTCAGAGGCATGGCCAGGCTGGCACCACAGGTTTTGTTCCTTGGAAGCAACACGTACAGATTTTATGAATCTGGAGCTGCTGTTACCAGGAAGGCGGAGCTAGAAGCCCAGTTCTCTTGGACGCAATCGTCCCAGTGCTGGAGAAGACCTAAAGAGGAGTGATCACCCCACAGAAGAACAACTTACAAGAAATGTTTAGAGGTTCCTAGCATCTGGACCAAGTGAAGAGAGGACCGTGTACACGTGTGTGATCCATTTTGTGTGTGAAGGCGTTAGTGACCCACCCCACAGGTGTTTCAGGAGACAAATGAGCAGGGGCTGAGGCGCTGCAACAGGCCCAGGGAAGAAAACCCGGCCTAAAGCGGGCGTTGGGGCCCGGCAGGCAGAGCACGAGCCGTGGCCCTTCCCGCCCCGCATGCCGCCTGGTCGTGGGCCAGAGAAGCGCGGCAGAGGCAGAGCGCCCAGCCCTCGGTGGCGAGCGCCTCCCGGGGAGGCAGGCAGCTCCCGTGGCCCCTGCTGCCTTCCTGGGGTGCGGGACCCCGCGGGCCCGCGGTGATGCACGCCCCTGCGCTCTGTCTGCCGCCAGGGCGTGATCCCAACCTTCCGCGTCAAGTTCCTGCTGCGCCTGTTGCGGGGCCGCCTCGAGGTGGACCTAGACAAGGACAAGCTGCTGTTTAAGCACATGTGCTACGAGATGGAGCGGCTGCATAACGGCGGCGACGTCACCTTCCACGACGTCCTCAGGTAGGGCGGGGGGTTCCCGTCTCTGGGTCATGGGTCCGAGCGGAGCCCAGGGACAGGCGCTGTGATCACGGCAGGCCTTGTAGACGACAGTTAGCAAGGAGGTTCGCAACCTGCAAGGCCCTCCGCTGTGACTCTAAGGCGAGGTCACACCGCTCCGGCATGAAGTGGCCTTTCTCACTGTCCTGTAACGATGGTGTCCCAGTGAGCGCCTCACACAGGAGGGCAGGGAGGCGGGAGGCAGTGGCCCGACATCCCCGAGGAGCTCCTGTGGGACAGGTAGACAGACCGCAGAGGTGTGGGCTCCCCAACCTTTGTTGGCCAGGAAGGAGCTGGTCCAGGGACTGCACAGTTACTCAGCCTCTCGGGCCAGGCTGGAGCTAAAATCCAAATCTCACTCATGAGCCAGACAAGAATTGGGGTGGCCCGCTCTGTGGTGGCTGACAAACCACAATTTCCAGACATTTAATGAGTCCCCTGATAGGACAAAGGGGTAACGCAACGCAAGGCCCTGCCCTTCCTTCTCCCGGAGAGGCTTCTGTATCCAAACGACTAGTTCATTCTCGCAGGTCTGGAGGCTGGAGTCTGAATTCAAGGTGTCGCGGGGCTGGTTCCTTCTGAGGCTGTGAGGGAGGATCTGTTCCAGCCCTCTCCCCAGCTCCTGGTGCTTTGCCAGGGATCTTTGGGGTTCCCTGGCTTGCAAAGCATCACCCTAATCTCTGCCTCCATCTTCACATGGTCCTCTCCATCTGTGTGCATGTCCAGATTTTCCCTTTTATAAGGACACCAGTCATATTGGATTAGGGACCCACCCCATTCCAGTATGACCTCATCTTAACAAATTACATCTGCTATGATCTACTTCCAAATAAGATCACATTTTAAGGTTTTGGGGGGTTATAACTACAACATATTTTTTGGGGGGGGGAAATAATTCAACCCATAACAGCTTCTTCAATGGGAGGCCATGGATAAAATTCAGAGGTCCATGGATTGGAAAGGAAAACAATTACATCTTTATTTTCACTAATAACTGTGAAATGCAGCACTGTCTTCAGTGATAAATACAGGCAACCAAGCCACAGAATATTAATAACACCCTTGTTTTTGTCACCAGTAGATATCACATGTATTTTTCACGTCACATTACTACTGTGGCTGGTATCTTAAAATATCCTTAGTACTCACTGGTAACTTCTAAGTTATTGCAGTCATTTGACCTCAGCTAAATGTTATTATTTAGTGCAATAATGAAGAAGCATTTTGTTACTACATCATCAACTTTTTCAAGAAAATAATAATCTGAGAACTATATTTCAATATAGTTGGTTTCCTTTGTAATAATGTATATTTTATTTTATGCATTTAAAACATTATTCTAAGGAATATCCCATAGGCCACTGCCGAAGGGGTCCGTCCACAGCAAGTCGGGAGCCCCCTCCCAGGAGTAACGATTTCCCTCATGTTGCAAAGACCTGACAAGTTAAGCACTGGTTACAGTGTGACACACTTCGGGAACTTGCCAGTTTACAGAACTGTGCTTGTGCCCAGAATCTGAAAAAAGGATCAGGACAGGAAGGATCTTGGAGAAGCTCTATCAAACCACATTTGCTTCCTTCTATTCACTTCTTCCAGAAGCTAAAGGGCAGGAAAAGATGGGCAGAATAACAAAGGATGCCATCTCTTTCAGAATGTCACTTTGTTGTTCCTCTTGATGGCAAATATTTTTAGGCTGAAAATGAGGCTCATAGACATTCCACTGTCACTAATAATTAACATCCAGCCTCTTTGGAACACAGAAATGCATCTGATAAAATGGCCCCTGGCGCAGTCAATGGCGGCCTCATCTGCCCCACCCTAGCCCCCTAGCTCAGCGTAGGGTGGAAACGGTTCAGCCGTGGTAAGATTCCTTGTGAGGCAGGAAGGAGAGGAGGAGCAAATGAATTTTTTCCTCCATGTGGGAGGAGCCTTAGCAAAGCAGTGGTCAGCGCACCATGCTGCACAGGGTGGGCGGCACTGTGCTGTGATTGGGGCCACCGAGACCGGGCTGAGCCATAGCCTGGGGTCCCGTGGTTGCACCAGGGAGCACCGACCTGCCGGTCCTTTGGCTGTGCACCCCTCAGCCGGGACACGGGATGAGCTGCCTTATTGCCAGGGCCCTGATGCAGCACATCTCTGTGTTGGGTTCATTTGCCACTGCCTGGGGCTCTCATGCCAAGGGCTGAGTGGGGTGAATATTCCACACTGGCTTTGCATCCGCCAATATTAATGAGGAAGATCCAGGGGGAATACATGAGACAAACTGAGAGGGAAATGGCTGGGGGAGGCTGTGGGGCCCAAAGCCAGGTGCATTAGCCGTCACCCATTGGAGCTGAATGTGAAGAAAGCATACAGAAAGTAGTCTTCACTCTGCGGGGAAAGTTGCAGCGTCATAGGGAGCTGATAATGTAGATGGGACCAAGCCTGGATCTTTGGTTTAACAAGCACGTCCATGGCATTTACTGTTGTAAGCACCTTACAGATATTAGTCAATCATTTAATAAGGCAGCTCCCATGAATCATCCCCATTTTACAGATGACCGAAGAGAGGCAGAGAGAAAGACATAACTTCCCGAGTCACCCAGTCAGGGCAGCACTAGGGTGCTCCCTAGGTCGGATTGAGTGGGGTCCTGCCTGGATTTTGAGATATCCCAGGGTCCGAGTCCAGGGCAGTCCGACCCGCGGTTGCCCCTGAACCCCCCGCCCCCGCCCCCGCCTCCAGCATGCTCTCCTACCGCTCCGTGGACATCCGGAAGAGCCTGCAGCTGGAGGAGCTGCTCGCCAGGGAGCAGCTGGAGTACACGATCGAGGAGGAGGTGGCCAAGCAGACCATCCGCATGTGGCTGAAGAAGTGTCTGAAGCGCATCAGAGCTGTGAGTGAACCAGAAGCCCCTGGGTTTTTGTCTCCTTCTCTTAAAGATGGAGGAGAAGGAGGATGGACAAAACAACAGGATCAAATCCTTCGGCAATCAGCCTTACACCCCTTCAACTTTGTCCACCTCAGCCACTTAATGATGGTCAGACGAGGATGTGAACCTTAACTGCAGCCCAAATTCAGCTCTGCCCGCTTAGCACAGGCCATGACACATTTCCATCGAGTCCCATTTTTATACCATAACATGAATGCTTAAAAAGCATTTAACTAATATTAATATATTTGCAATCTCCATTTATTAAACTCAAGTTTTCTAGATGCCAGAAATCTCTACATATTGACTGGCAAATGAGTTTGCAAAACTACTTTTAAGTTGCTCTTAAAAATTCCACGATGCACTTAATAACATTGTTTGGTCCTTAATGAGAGACTGTATCTCCTGGGAGTTTAATGATCAGTTTGCTCTTCCTGAACTAGAAGCTTATGAGGTTCTCTGACTCATAAATCAGTGAGCATGTTCTGTGTTGGTATACACTGTTTACAATGGGCATTTCTATTAGGTGATCACTTTTAGGAACGCTTTTGACTTATGCTTCACACATAGGGGAAAAAATGAAATTCATCCCTAAACATCTATATGTAACAGATTGTTTCATCCTGCTTCTCCAAACAACATCAATGGCAGAAACATATCCTTCTATTGTAGGAGAAAAAGTGCCCAGAGAAATTAAACATCCCCATTTCTCATAGTCACAGCCAATCCATCACAGCTCTGCTAACTCCAGGGATCAAACCTGCCCTTCATCGGCCCTCAGAGGGCACAGGGGGTGCTGGCTGCCCCCCAGACCATCCTGGCCTCAGTGTGTGCCAGGACAGACTGGCCTGCTCCATTCCAGAAGAACCGAGAGCAAGGGTTTCACTCATTCACTCACCCAAGGCAATCTGCCTCTTACACCTCAGAGGAAAGGGGCCATCCACATGGGCTTCATGAGCACAGAACAAAATAAGGGGAAAAGAAGGCCCACGGTAGAGATTTAAAAGTTCAGTTTTAAATAGAACACATGCTGGTATCAATGAACAGAACTATACCCATTGTTATGAAAATGCATGGAGTGGGAAAGCAAGTGCTGTATCTCAAAGTCCTCCTTTCTAGCAGTCTGGTACTTATCAGGAAACTAGTTAAGGATCCCATTAGGAAATTCCTAAGAGGCCACCAAGCACACAGGTTCTTTGGAGAGTAAAGAAACTGGGATTTGAGTGGTGGGGGTAGGGGTCCATTGGGCTGATGTTCCAGTTACTGAAAGAACAATCCTCTTTCCCTAGAAACAGCAGCAGTCATGCAGTATCATCCACAGCCTGAGAGAGAGCCAGCAACAGGAGCTGAGCCGGTTTCTGAACCCTCCTAGTATCGAGACCACCCAGCCCAGTGAGGACATGAACGCTAACAGTCAGGATAATAATATGCAGCCTGAGGTATGGGGAAGAGATGCCCTTCATCCAGGGGTATTCCATGCATTTTTAAAGATAAGAAATGAATTGGTGCTGTTCATAGAGCCATTTCAAACCCAGTGACAATATTTCTAATTGGAAGTTAAAGGAAAAAAAAAAAAAGGTTGGAACATGTTGGTCCACATTATACTGTCTTTGCCATCCCAGAATCATTTGAGGTTATTTGCAAAGATTCTGATTTGTATGAATATCAAGAAAAAAAAAGTTAATGCCCTGAACTTATTAGTTCCGTTAATTTTTGTCTAAAAAGTTAACATTACGTCAATAAGGGCTTAATCGGAGTCTGGCAACAGTATTTGATCTAAGAGAACATAGTTTGCTGGGCAGCTCTATCCTAAATGGTTTTTTCTCCTGCCACGTCATGGACACTTGCAGTAAAATCAGGGGGGATGTTTGTAACTGGCCTTCAACCTCCTTAAAGTGTCAGACTTATTAAGGATTTGTCCTTCCTGAGCTAGACATGACAGCGAGAAGGCTGGCAGCAGGTCCTGCCCAGTATGAGGGCACAGTTTATGGGTGGATGGAGCTGACCCCACCCCCAGGCAGTGTCAGGTTTTGTGGTGGGCAGTGACACAGTCGGGGCCAGCAATCATGCTGAATCCTGAGGCTGCGTGGTCCAGCCCCCCACTCCAAGGGGCCCTCTTGTTCTGCAGCGCAGGCCTGGGTGGATTTCATGCTGTCGGCCCCCTAACCCACAGAAACCATCTGCAGCCGACTGCAGGGACTTGTGCAGGCGGAGTCCACAGGCAGAATGTGGGAGCGTCTTCAGTAGCCCTGCCGTCTGTCTGCTGAGAGTGGCTGTTGGGGCTCCGTAGGGGGCGGCTGGGATAAGATCAGGACGGCCAGCGAGGCAGGGCTGATGCGCAGGCAAAGGGATGTAGCAGAGCTCTCTGGTTTTAGGTTATAATACAAAAGAAACACACAAACAAAAACAAAAGGCAACTAAAAAAACCAAGAGGGAAGGAATGCTGAAGGGATGTGAAGACCAAGGTGCCACTAAGAAAGGACAGAAGGTGACAGTGAGCCCGGAAGTGGGGAGGATACGCAGGCAGTCCCCACCTTTCTCTTGTCTTAGCCGGTATGGATCCGCTCGGTGCGGCCCGGCGGGGCTGGGAGACTGGCCTCCACAACACCAGGCAGCCGCGCAGCCCGCTTCTTCCCTGGACCGCCACCGTCCTGACCCCAGGCACTGGCGAATCCCCGGGCCGAGGGCATGGAGGGCAGGTGGCCAGGCGGGGAGGGCGCCTGGCCATGTGCACCGGGGAGTCTTTCGCTTTCCTGACCTCTTTTAACCCAGTTTTACTTTCCTCTCCCCATTGTGGACGCCGCGGGTCTGTATTGTTTTCCCCACTTGTTTTGCTCCCTTCTTGAACCGGCACGAGGGTGGCGTCCGGGCAGCGCGCGCAGCGCCGCCCGGAGCTGAGCCCCCGCCTCGCCCGCAGACGAGCAGCCAGCAGCAGCTGCTGAGCCCCACGCTGTCGGACCGAGGAGCGCGGCCCGACGCCGAGGCCGGGAAGCCGCAGCGCAAGTTCGGGCAGTGGCGGCTGCCGTCGGGTAGGTGCCCCGCGCCCTCTCCCGGCCGACTAAGGCCCTACCCAGACGGCTGCGCTCCGCGTGTTGAGTGTTGGATTTCAGAATTCAGATGTGCATCTCCAGGTGTGTGCAGACACATGCGTCTCCGTATCAAAAACGTTTCCCCCCAAAATACCTTCCCTAAACGGAACAGTACCAGCCTGCCTATTTCAGCTCCCGTGGTTGAAGAGGCGGCACCTGTTCACGAAGCGAGATGCCATAGCCATGATCTGGAAAAAATGAGGAAGCAATTTCCAGGGGTCTCCTGGGGGCCTTCAAGGCGTTCCCAGACACAGGCAGAATTTATTTCACCGAAGAAGGAGTGAATGGATACGATCATTCAGACAATGCCAGAGTGCTCAAGGAAGGAACAACAAATTATGTATTTATAATATAATATAATGGATAATAAAAGTGCTTACTGTATTCCAGTCACAATTATAAGTCCACTACATGGGCTCCCGTATTTAATCCTCACAATTCTCTTGTTTTCCACATTTTACCGACTCAGTAAGAGAATTTTCTTCTAGAGGAACATGGGTTTTTGGAAAACCAGGATCATCCCCTTAAGGGCGCTCAGGAGGGGAGCAGCCATGTGCACGGCGCTGGGTTCCTCCCCGCCGTGCTTTCCTCTGTAGATAACTGAGTCCTAGTAAAGTAGGGGCTCCCTAATGCTCTCTAATTGTGCCCCTTCAGCCCCAGCTGAGTGAGAAGATGGAGGACAACTCTTCTCTAGGCTGATCTGTCCTGCAAAGTGGAAGACAGTGTAACAGGTTTTGAGGCCAAAAGTCGTTTCTTCCATTAACACCAGAGAGGTGTTAATAGTAGCATTACTAGTTATCTGTGAACATCCTTTTAAAGTCTGTTATGAAAATAAAGAATCAAGTGCTAGAAAGGTTTCAGACTCGATATCTACGGCTAGGACGTGTTCACCAAAAGCATTGCCGATGGGAGTATGTCCGCTCGTCAGGAGCGACTTTGCCCCTCGACAAACCCCACTGTGTCGCTCACTGGGCTCTTGTTAATTCCGCAGCACCAAAACCGATAAGCCACTCGGTGTCTTCAGTCAACTTACGGTTTGGAGGGCGGACAACGGTGAAATCTGTCGTGTGCAAAATGAACCCCATGACTGACTCCACTTCCTGCGGTTCCGAAGTGAAGAAGTGGTGGACCCGGCAGCTGACGGTGGAGAGTGATGAGAGTGGAGATGACCTCCTGGATATTTAGATGGAAATCGGCACAGGCAGAAGTCTAGGGGTGAAGAGGCTCTTCTGCTATTTCCTCCGTTGTCCAGTGAGCAATCTGTAATTGGCACATTAAATTCCAACTTGTCGCAGGATTTCTTTAATTAATTTTGTCCTGCCATAGGAAGCCATAAAGCTTGCTCTGTCACAGCTGTGTGTATAACGGGTCCTCACGATCTGTTCAAGAACTGTGGCTAATGGCAGTATTCGTGGTATTAGCAACTGTACCAATACCAGGTGGAGATCGTTCAAAAATCTCATATACTCTAAGTAAACTAAGGTATATAGTCGTATATATGCTCTTATGCATTATCACCGCCCCCTGAGAGAGGGCTAAGCCCAAAGTGGCTGATATTTACAGTGTATACAGGAGCTTTAGTTCATGTTTTTCCCATAAGCCCTGAGCTTATGTTAAAAATGATAGTAGTTTTGCAAACTACAAATTCTGAATTTCAAAAAATATGTTCTTTTTCTCATGTTTTTTTAAAAATATGCACAAGATATTTAGAGATCAGAACAAGACAATTTCTGCCCTCAGTCACTGTCATGAAACTGTTTGCTGCTTCCAAGAAAAGTGTGTGTGTGGGTGCCAGGCAAGGAAAGTGGCCCCAAGGTGCTAACTGGCTTGAAACAAACTGGTATGTAGATCGCTTGCAGGACATGGTCACATAAAGAGGCTAGGTTTCTTAAAAAACCTTTTAATAACTGAGGTAAGCAAAAAGAGGAAAACTACATTTTCAGGTTATTTTTTTTAATCTTTACAAATGTGATGTTATTGGTTTCTTTTCTTACCCAACATATGTTTGTTTAGCCATAAATCAGCAAAGAGTTATGGGTTGATCCTAACACCGCTGCTAAATTGAATTCAGAGTGACTCCTCTGCCACCAGATTCTCCTCTCACAATAATGGGACTGCACAAGCTTACACAGTTTAGGGATCCCACAACTCAATTGTATTTGTCTCACACATCATGTCCTCTGGGAAAATTAAAATGCCATGGGATTAGCAAAATTCCTTTGGACCTCATGCTGGGTCAGCCAACCAGAAGTGTGTTTGAGCCTCTCTAACTGCCTTACTCTTGATTGGAGATTTCCTGTTTAGATAAGTTCTTTTAACAGAGTGATGGTCTCAGAATCTTTTGACCCCCATCCCAGGTTGCTCCCTGATCTCTTTTTCTCTATTTCACATTCTAAAATAGCTAAATATCACTTCATTCTGTATAACAAATAGAGCATCCTGGTGCCAGTCATTGTTTTATGATTAATGGTGACTGGAAGACAATGGGCAGTGAAAGTCAGTGCAGCCGACCGGTTTTGTTGGGTTTTATGTTTATTCGAAGTTTACTTTTTGTACATAAGGAAATAAAATGAATATTGGATTTGTAAACGAATTTACTCTGAGGTGGTGATCATTTCTAAACCCTTCTCTGCGTGTGTGTGGGGGGAGGGGTTTGAAGGTGGGACAGTGAGGGGCCTGATGCTTTGCAATCTCTGTATTAGAATATTCCACCTATAATTAGTTGGCAAAAGCTCCATCCCTGATAGTCATTGCCGCTCAGCTCCTAAACCAGAGTGGTCCCTTCATGTTCGTGCCCATGAGGTTGAGTGGATACTCTGTCCCTTCCAGACCCACAGCAAAACGGGGCTGTGCCAGCGCTGCACAAAGACAAGGTGTTTTTTGCTTCATTACACTGAGTAATACAGCTTCATTCTCGCAAAACTGCTGAGGCCTTCCTAGGACATCTGTAACTGGCACTCAGCACAGCTTCCTTGCTGTTCATTCTGCAGTGAAGCAAGGGGCCAAACAGCCTTGCACTTAAAGCCATAGCACCTACATTTTCAACCAAGTGAAAAGGCCGAGCAGTTCCTGGGGGTCTCAGCTTTACTCTTTGCCTGAGGCCAGTAGAGCAGGAAGCCGGGTGAGAAGGTAAGTGCCACCCCCTCTGAGATGTTTCATAAACATATAAACAGTCCCATTATGCAGACTGACAAGCTTCAACCACAATGTTCCCGGGTCCTCAGGGAGGCCAGAGACTGATGGGAATCCTGTCATCATGCCAGCCACTGCCTTTAATTGAAGCACACTGCTGGTGCCAAGCGCACCAGAAAGCACGGGGGATGGAAGACAACAAGGAGCCTCCAGTGGGAACAGACCACACACACACACACACACACACACACACACACACACACACACACGCATTCACATATGGCGGTTCAGGGGGACTCACGGGAAGCAGGATGGATAGAATGGCCGGGCCCCAGCTCTTCACTCCATTCTCAGATAGATTGAGAACAACCCTCATTTTCAGTGACTGTCCATTTGGGCTCAACCCAGGCGGAATAAGGCAAGGGCACATAGAAGAAAAGCCAGTTACAAAGCCTTAAACCAAGGCAGTTTCCAGGCCAGTTGAGCCATGTGTTGGCCCGCTTCCCTGCAGGAAGTGGCATGCTTTAGGGCTGGTTTTCCCTGTCGTTCAGCAGCTCCACTCATTCTCAGAGGCCTTCAAGACATCCCAAAATACAAAAACAGCACAGCCCTGACCGAAACTGGCCTCTTCTCAACCCTTGATATGGATTGAATGGTGCCCCCCAAACAGACATGTCCAAGTCCTAGCCCCCAGTACCTGTGCATGTGACCTCATCTGGGAGTAGGGTCTTTGCTGATGTCATGTTAAGTCAAGCTGATGTCAGACCAGAGTAAGGTGGGCCCTCAATCCAATATGACCGGTGTCCTGATAAAAAGAGAAACACGGCGGGGAGAATGCCGAGTGAATGCACAGATGCAGAGGGAACACAGCCACGTGGACACAGAGGTGGAGGGTGGGGCGAAGCTTGTTTTCTCCCTTCCCACAGGCCTGGAAACACACAAGATTCATGTCCCCATATTTTATAGGGAGGTCTGCTTTTCTGAATCAGTATGTGGAAGAGACAACCACCCAAACACAGGTATCTTCCATCCCCACGTGCAGCCTGGACACTCACAGCTAGAAGCCCTCTTCCCTGTCAGCTCGGCTCAACGACTTTCCCGTAGTGCCACCCCCACACTACTACCTCCAAAAATGACATCTTAACTCCAACTTGTTAGGATGGCTTCCATCCAAAACAGAAACACAAACAAGCAAAAAAACATAACATATAAAGTATTGATGAGGATATGGAGAAATTGGAACCTTTGTGCACTGTTGGGACTGTAAAATGGTACAACCACTATGGAAAGCAATATAACAGTTGCTCCAAAAAATTAAAAATAGAATTACCATACAATTTCAGCATTACCGCATCTGGGTATATATCCAAAGGAATTTAAACCAGGGCCTCACAGAGATGTTTTTGTACACCCCTGTTTATGGCAGCATTATTCACAATAGCCCAAAGTGGAAGCAACCTTAATGTCAATTGATGGATGGATAAACAAAATGTACATGCCTACAATGACATATTACTTTGTTTCAAAAAGGAAGGAATTCTGGTGCTTATAACAACATGGATGAACTTTGAAGCCAAGTCCTCATACAAATACTGCTTGACTCCACTTCTATGTGGCATTAAGAGTAATAAAACTCATAAATATAGAAAGTAGAATGGTGGGGACCAGGGGTTTGGGGGAGGGGGAGTTATTTCATGGATATAAAGTTTCAATTTTGCAAGATGAAAAATTTCTGATAGTTGGTTGCACAGCAATGTGAATATACTTAACACTGCCCAACTGTATGCTTAAAGGTGGTTAAAATGGTAAATTTTATGTTACCTGCATTTTATCAAAAGTAAAATTTTAAAGAAAAATTTTAAAATACATCTTGTCATCTGATCCCAAAAGTTAATGGCCAAATCAAAATAGCAAAATAATTCCAGTGCCACATTTAACTTATGCTTCTATATCTGTTTGCTTTCTGTATTTGACCAGTACACCTGGCTTTTATTTAACATTTTATTATTTTTCCCCAATGCTGTATGTCACTCATTCCATTTAAAAATCTTCCTGTAGTACACCTAGTAAATATCTAAATCCCACTTGGATGTTTGGAAGGTTGGCATCACTGTCCATTGAATTAAGCTACGGATGGTTTGCTTAAAGGCAAATCTCAAGTTGTTTCTCATTCTCCCTTCAGCAGGCAGTGGTTCAGTGTCAATGCCAATTTTAAGGCTTTATTACAGAACCAACCAGCCTGCAAGAGGAATTATGTAGCTTCGTTGTGTTTCTTCACGAATGGCTATTTCTCACTCCATTTCCATACAATGTGGACGGTGACCCCAAAATAATGCTAAGTGAAAACACTTGTTTTGATACATCATTCCTAGGAGTGTTCCTAATGCCTTACTAGTTACTGAGATGTTCAACATTCAAATAAGCTCAGACCACCTGTAAGTATAGAAATGGGATAAGATTCTCTGCAAATAAAAACATATTAAAAGATGGTGCTTTTGCATTCTAAGCCATGTCAAAACTGTCTAAGATAACAAGTCAAGAACTTGACCAAGGACTGCCAAGAATGGCAGTATAACATCATCCGGAAAAACTCTTCTTCGGCCAAGTTCTCAAGGAAGAGACTTGTATCCGTAAATTATACCAAAGATAGATAGCTTTTTTATTTGAATTATCTGCGTATTCTTGGGTATTCTTGATTTAATTTTGCCTTTGAAAAAACAAGAGTTTAAAGTAGGTAACACTCTTGGGCCCTTAGAGTAGGTTGGGAAGATTAAGATAAGAACATCGGGCATTCTCCATTCTTGGAAGCGGATCATGCTGTCTCATGCTTGCAGGTGACTGCACTGGTGTATCAGTCAGTGGGTCTGCCCGGGGAGGGTGCATCGCCTGGAATAGACAAAATGAGAATATGAGGGCTCTCCAGAGAAATAGAACAATAGGATATATAGAGAGAGAGATTTATTTTAAGGAATTTGCTCATGTGACTGTGTGGGGTGGGGGTGACAAGTCCAAAATCTGTCTGGCGGGCCTGCAGACTAGAAATTCAAGTAAGAATTGATGTTGCAGTGTCGAGTCCAAAACCCACAAGTGAGAAACTCAGACAGGATTTCTGTTTACAGTCTGGAGGCAGAAATCCTTCTTTTCCAGGGAACTTCAGTCTTTGGTCTTCAGGCCTTCCACTGACTGGATGAGGCCCACTCACTTTAAGATGGTAATTGCTTTACTCAAAGCCTGGGGATTTAAGTACTGATTACACCCAAAACATTCCTTCACGGCAACATCTAAACTAGTGTTTGACCAAACAACTGGGCACCATAGCCTAGCCAGGTCAGCAAACGTAAATCTATCCAGCACAGTGGGTATCATCGTATTACCTGTAGCTGGTTAAGGCAACCTTAGATGTGGTCACTCGCCTGCCTATGGAATACAACCAATTGTCTTTTTTCCCCAGAACAAGAAGCAAAGAATGCTGATTTTATTCTCTCAGTTTCTAGCTTAACAAGGAGGAAGGGAAAACAGGTTGCAAACGAGAGAAGTTGCACTGATTTTTTTAATGTGTATGTGTGTTGTGAAGGTGTGAATCCTAATTCATAAGGCTACATAAGGTACAGTCTTCACCTCTTCTGGCTTAATTGGTCCCAGAATCATTAGGACAGTCATCTTAACATAGACCTTATTCCAGGCAATGTCTTCTCTTTCAGGGTCTGCATTTCACATTAGAAATATCATGTAAGGTCCTACCCAGGGAAACATGGGAAGCGCAGCCACGAAGCAGTTAGCTAGGAAACATGGGGCTGATAGTGGGTTGACAGTAAATATTCCACATGTCACCCAGAAAGCTGTCATGAGGAGCTCGGTTCTCTCCCCTGGTGCCGGGGGACACTTGGCAGTGGGCTCTCCCAGGGACAGAGGGGAGAAAAGCCTCCATAATGTGAGTGGGCCTCATCCAATCAGCAGAAGGCCGGTAGAGCAAAGACTGAGGTTTCCAGAAAAAGAAGGAATTCTGTCTCAAGACTATAAGCACCGAAATCCTGCCCAAGTTCCTCATTTGCAGACTTTGGACTCAGCACTGCAACATCAGCTCTTGCTTGTTTGAGATGTGCAAAACACACTCACTGGTCCAAACTCAGGAAGTGGACACGGAAACAAAGAGAACAGCAGACTGAGGCTTTAATGACGGTCTTGCAAGATCAGGTGTCTGGTGAGCAGGTGCACTTGGGGTTACAACAAGCAGTTTATTCCCTAGCACACGAGTCCCTCACCTGGTTCCTTGTTGACTCAGTGCCACAGGGTTTACATTCTTTCCCCGGGCATCACCTAAGCAAGTTATATCCATATTAGGCTTTTTAAAATATTTGTCTTAATGTTATTGGCTGGTTCAAAACTTCTGCATTTTTCTGAAGTGACACACAGTCTGCTCTTTCTCAGGCCCCCCCATCCCAGCAGAGGGGACTC